GGTTTCTGTTTATAAACTATAATTAAAGGTCAAAATTCCCTAATAATGTTATTGCATGAACTTTAGCTCGAAATCGTAGGTGAGGTAGAAACGCCCACACGGGATATTCTATCATTTTCATTTGTTGCTTTTGAAGGTCATGAAACAGCCAATAAAATAAGCGAAAGCTGCGCGTGTGGGTGGCACCAATTTTTCGAACTAATTTGTAGATTGCGATCGGTAAACTTTATTCACAATCGGTAAAGTAGGTAATTGAGCGGGAAATTTAAATTTTGCGCTACAATATTCTGGCAAAAGTTAAAATTTAGCTAATGACGATTTTTTAAAAATTAATTAAATTAAAAATAATATTGATTTTTTCTTTCTTCGTATAGTAAATTTTTAAAAAGTACATTAAAACTATTAGATTGGAATGAAGAACACATTTCTAGACCAATTAACCTTATCAGGCACTAACAATTAACGTATTGGGCCATAACTTAAAGAAACTACTTTTAACTATTTCCAAATATGATGGGAAAGATATCTAAAGATAAGGTGATAAGCTCTCTTAACTTAAATTCAATTTTTATTTTAAAAAAATCTCTATTACCTACACAAGATTTTTTTTCCTTTTCTATTTCTCAAAATATAGACACAATATTTTTAATATATATTTTTTATTCGCTTATTTGAGTTCTAAACCAAGTACTAAAGCTATTTTTTCAATTTTACCTTTTTTTTATCAAGATTTCTACATTATCGACAGTTGTAAATGATGTTTGTTAATATTCCAACTGTCGGTAAATGTAAATTCGCTATTTTCCACATGAATCAATATTTTTATTTAAATTTTCTTTCTAAGTAAATATTTTTTCACAGACCTTAATATATTATTTCTTTTATTTTTCTTTCTAACTATGGCAATTAATTAAACATTCTTTTAACTTTTTTTCTTTTTTGAAATAAATGAGAGAAACTTTAGCAAAATTCAAATTTATCAAAAATTATTCGTTTGAGAATTTATGATCAATTTCGTTCATTTTATTTTCCAATTATTGGAAAGTTTTGGTCAAACTAGAAATGCAAACGTAAATCTAATTTCCGAATAATTACTCCAGTGTTCACGGAAATTTAATTTGCCACTTATCAGGGAAACATCAACATTTAGAGATGGGGAATATTTTTTGGAAATAAAATTTTAATTTCAGTCTTTGTTACAAATATAAATATGTAACAATAAATATAAATATTTAAATATATAATTATTATTTTACTAAAATAAATTATTACACATAAATTATATATTTATTTTAATACATATTTATATATATTTGAATTTAAATTTAGTTTAATATAAATATATATTTATTTTTTACGTAAGTTTGCTGCAAGATTACGTGCTATGTGGGATATTATATTATATTATTTTATTTTATTTTATATTATTTTATTTTATTTTATTTTATATTATATTATATTATATTATATTATATTATATTATATTATATTATATTATATTATATTATATTATATTATATTATATTATATTATATTATATTATATTATATTATATTATATTATATTATATTATATTATATTATATTATATTATATTATATTATATTATATTATATTATATTATATTATATTATATTATATTATATTATATTATATTATATTATATTATATTATATTATAAATAGAGAAATAATTAATAAAGAATTTATGATTTAAAAAATTAACTAAAATAAAATGAAAGTCAGGAATTTTTAAAAACTTGAATGAATTCGAGAATACAGTTGAAAATGTTAATTATTACTTGTTTTAAATATTGCATTACGACACACACTATAGATGACAAGATGATTACTAATTTCCCCGTAGGCAATGGGAAAAAAAATGGATAAAAAAAATATGGAGCATTCATTTTTCATTTAAGTTCATAATATTCATTCGAGCACCGGCATTGTTATCGTCACAGGCGTGTAACTCACGCAGTGGAAGCTGGTCACTAAATTATTTGTTATTGACCGATTATCAACCTCGTATGTTGCAAATTAACTCAAAAGTGATTCATTTCCTTTATATTTAAACAAAAAACCGAACATTTTCAAAATACCCTTTCTTTCAATTACTTTTAATTTTACTCCAAAAAAAAAAAAAATTCACTTATATAAATATATTTTTTTAATTGTTTTAAAAATAGAAATTTCAAGATAGATCTAGTTTTGAAATTTTCTTTTTCAAATGCGCGTACGATCTCATTGACAGATGTCGTAACCAATCAAAAATGACAACATGACATGTCGACAATATTTTGGTTTCAATTGTCAGTATGGTGAAAAATTTGCCATTTTAGTTTAAATTCAAATTTTTCTTTTCCACAAAAATATTTTTCCATAAATATTAATTTAAGAAAAATTAATTTCTTACAAAAACAAAACATTTTATTCTAGACTTTATACTCGTGAATTTTTTTTTTCATAATAAAAAATGTTTTTGCAAAAAGGAAATAAAATTCTCTCGTGATAAAAAGAAATGAATCATTTCATTTAATTGAGATGAAGATAATTAATAAATGGGAGGCAAAAATGAAAAATAATGACTAGAAAATAATAATCAATTGAAGATAATTAAATTAATAATTATCAAGACACCAAGTGTACATAGCCAGTCATGCATGATACAAAAAAAAACCTACCTTTTTGCCTCCAATTTTTTATTTTCCTTATTAAATTAATTAATGTTTTTTAAAGGGTATAATGAAAAGTAAAAAAATATTTGATTATTTTTATTCTACTTACCAGTAGACACTGTTTTTATTCGACAATATATTCAATAAAGAACGTTAATCTAACCCTCCTGCTGAGTTCTGACACCGACACACAAAGTAGAAATAAACAGCTGTTTGAAGAGTTTACTCACATTCCGTGAGAGTGCAACACTTATTTCCGTTTGTGAGTTTATTTGAATTTCCCGCTTAAATTAACGTCAATTTTTCCTTTTTTCTTTTACTTCCGTTCTCAAATTCTGGTCAAAGAAAAAATTTGAAAATACCGTTAAAAATTTATATGGAAATTTTTTTTCTTGACTAATTTTTTATTTTGATATGATTTTGACCTAATTTTTAATTGGCCTAAAGCGAATTAAACCTAATTTTCATTTCCTACAATAGAAATTTGGAGAAAATTATTTTATTAGCCTTATTTTGAGCCTTGTATTATGTTTCAACTATTTTTTATTCTACCTAATTCAAAATTGACCTAATTTATAAATGTTAGAATATTAAACAAGTTTCATGGAAATTGAAGATGGTAACGCTTAATTTTTATTGACCTAAACTTTTTTCAGCCTAATTCGTATGACCTACGTCTATTTGTATAAATTTTCTTAAATATTAATTAACTTAATCATTATTGAACTTATATCATAGACCTCATTAATCATTAGACCTAATTTTTACTAAACCTGATTCACAGAATTTTATTGGACCTAATTTTTATTAAATATAATTCATAGCCTCTTATTTAACTTAATTTTTATTAAACTTGATTCACAGAATTTCATTTGACCTAATTTTTATTAAATCTAATTCATAAAATTTAATTTGACCTAATTTTTATTACATCTGGTTCATAGAATTTTATTTGACCTAATTTTTATGAAACCTGGTTCATTAAATTTAATTTGACCTACTTTTTATGAAACCTGTTTCATAGAATTTTATTTGACCTAATTTTTAAAAAAAACTGGTTCATAGAATTTTATTTGACCTAATTTTTATGAAACCTGGTTAATATAATTTTATTTGACTTAATTTTTATTAGACCTGATTCATAGAATTTTATTTGACCTAATTTTTATGAAACCTGGTTCATAGAATCATATTTGACTTAATTTTTATTAGACCTGATTAATAGAATTTTATTGGACCTAATTTTTATTAAATATAATTCATAGCCTCTTATTTAACTTAATTTTTATTAAACTTGATTCACAGAATTTCATTTGACCTAATTTTTATTAAATCTAATTCATAAAATTTAATTTGACCTAATTTTTATGAAACCTGTTTCACAGAATTTTATTTGACCTAATTTTTAGAAAAACTGGTTCATAGAATTTTATTTGACCTAATTTTTATGAAACCTGGTTCATATAATTTTATTTGACTTAATTTTTATTAGACCTGATTCATAGAATTTTATTTGACCTAATTTTTATGAAACCTGGTTTATAGAATTATATTTGACTTAATTTTTATTAGACCTGATTCATAGAATTTTATTTGACCTAATTTTTAGGAAACCTGATTCATAAAATTTAAATTGACCTAATTTTTATTACACTTGGTTTAGAGAACTTAATTTGACCTAATTTTTATGAAACCTGTTTCGAAGAAATTTATTAAACCTAATTTTTATCAAACCTGATACATAGAATTTTATTAGATCTAATTTTTATTAAATATATTTTATAGACTCCTATTTGACCTAATCTTTATTAAACCTCATTCATAGAATTTTATTAGACCTAATTTTTATTAAATCTAATTCAAAAAATTTAATTTAACCTAATTTTTATTAAATCTATTTCATGGACTTTTATTTGACCTAATCTTTATTCATAGAATTTTATTAGACCTAATTTTTATTAAACCTAATACAGAATTTTCTTAGACCTAATTTTTAATAACTCTTACTTATAAACTTTTATTAGGCCTAATTCATAAACATTTTGTTTGAACTAACCTTATTAATTCTTTCTTCCTAGACTTAAAAAATGCATTTTTCCCTAAGGTTAAAAAAGGAATTTTTTCTATTTTTTTTAAATACTATTTAAGATAATTTATCTAGATCTGGATCTAGGTGTATTATCTTAGATGTTATTGTATATTTCCTATGGTTTATAATTAACCAGAAAGTATCAAAATTGTTTATTTTTGATTTGGAAATTGAATGGAAATAGAAATTCGCACATAAAATATTAAATTTGATAAAAAAACTATATAAAACGTTATAAAACTTTGAATTCATCTTTTATTATGAACATTATCGGTACAATTAAACAAGAAGTATAATACAGTAAAATAGGACCGTTTTACAATGGAGTACGTAAAGCTTTTTACATAATTATGGAGTGATTTGTTTGAATAATATTTACCATTTTCTTTTTCTTTTTTTCGTTTTTTTTTTTTGCCACATGCGGTATAGTTTACGTTGCCAGAGATATGTACTCCTTTAGTTGTTTATTTATATCCGTACTAACCGAGTGCATCATTTGATCAAATTGATTAACTCCTACAATTCTTCTCAAGGAATTTAGCTAAAATTAAAAAAGTGTATGTTTTAAATAAATCCAGTGTTATAGTAATGAAATTTTTGTTTTTAATTACTGGAAAAATAATAAATTATTAGCTTCAATATAATTAAAATTATTATTATATATGTGACGCGCTCTTAAAAATTACAGTCAAAAATTATTTTAAATTTGCATTTTTATACAATTTTTGGCAAAATATCAATTATTTTCAAAAATTTTCCTCCATTAAATGATTTTTAATATTTATTATTTTAATAAAATTTTCTAAAAGAATTCAATTCTTTAAACAAAAATTTAATAAAATTCTACGCAATCATTTAATTATTTTCATAAAATAATAAAAATTTCACAGGAATTCAATTATTTACATATTTTTTTTTTTATAAATTTCTTCGCAAGAATTCAATTATTTTCAAATGTAATAAATTTTCTTGAAAAAATTCAATTACGTTCAAAAATTTTTAAAAATTCTCGTCAGAATTTCAATTATTTTTAGAAACATTAGAATTCTTCTCCGAAATTCAATTATTTTCAAAAATTTTAATAAAATTCTTGTTAAAATTTCAATTATGTAAAAAAATTTCCCCAATTCAATAATTTTTAATATGTACTATTTTAATAAAATTTTCCAAAAGAATTCAATTATTTAAAAAAAATTTAATAAAATTCTACGCAAACCATTTAATTATTTTCGTAAAATAATAAAAATTTCACAGGTATTCAATTATTTACAAATTTTTTATAAATTTCTTTTCAATAATTCAATTATTTTAATAAATAATAAAATTTTTACAAACATTCAATTATTTTCGTAAATACTACAATTCTTTTTAGAAACTCAATTATTTTCATAAATAATAAAACGCATCGCAGAATTTCAATTATTTTTAATACAATTTTAATTAAATTTCTCGAAAAATGTAATTATTTTTAAAAATTTTATTTAAATTCATCCAAAGAATTTAATTATTTAAAAATTTGTTGATAAAATTCTTTATGAGAATTGAATTTTAAGGAACATTCAATTATTCAATAAATTGTATTTTTTGTATTTAAATAATTGAATTCTAGTAGAATTTTTTAATAAAAATTGATTTTATAAATGATTTTTAGTTAGAATTTTAGATAATAATTGAATATTAAAAGCAATTTTCATAAAAAAAAATTAACAATTCTAGAAAATAATAATTTAATTGAAATGATGAAAATAATTTTGAAGAATTTTAATTATTATAAAACATGAAGAATAGTATTTAGTATTTAGAAGTATTTAGAATTTAGTATTTAGAATAGTATTTAGAATAGTATTTTTCTTTTTAAATAAATTTAAATTAATTTAAATAAATTTACCTGCGTTTGAAGAAAATTCTTCAATGATACTTTGTGCATAACGTCATTTGATTCGATTTCTTTTTTTCGCTTTGCATGTTCAGTTTCATATTCTGCTTCTTCATATTGCGATGGTGTACGATCGTCATCAGAAATTAATGAACTTGAAAAAGTAAGACAACAAAAATTTTAATTAATATAAAATATGAATTAATAAAAAAAAAGACAGTTAAGAAAAAAACATTTCTTTTAGAATACTCACTCTACTGGAGAATTCATGTCGTCCATTTTTGAAATGTCATTTAACGTATAAACAATATTTGTCAACATTTGCGGAAAATATTGCAGAACGCTGGGAGGACTGCTTGCATCAAGAAACGAGCAAAGTACAATAGCCAATAATTTCTCCTGATCACGTTGATGTACAAGACTCATTTTATTTATCCAAACTTTTATTATTTGCCCAAGAACTTTTTCTTCATTCACATCGCCTCCAATTTGTCTCGATAATTCCCTTATCACCTGAATTATTGTTTTTTACCACAATATTGAAATTGAAAATTGGAAAAAAATTCCATACATCAATATTTGTAGTACAAAATTATTTAAGTTTGTTTTTAACTAAGTAATTAATTTTTTTCATCTTAAAAATTAGTCTCTGAATTTAGCGTCGACGCTAAAAAATTTCTTTTTACGAAATCGAAAAATGTAACGTTTCGAAATTTTTCCATAAAAAAAGTGTCTTGTTTTTTAATTTCTAAATTGAATGAAAGAAGCGAAATTAGTGACAATTTTATCTCTGAAAACGGAAAATAATTTTTGACGCTGAGCTTTGACGCTAACTTCGGGGACATTAAATAAAAAATTCTAAATAATTTTTTTTTTTGAAGAATATTAAAAAATGGAAATTAATATATTAAAATTTGACATACTTCAACGAACATGTCACGTGAATTGAGAAAAATTCGAGCCATTATGGAAAGATACATGCTCATTACTTGAGGATATTCTTCGCCCTTGTAAACGCCTCTGCAAACAAATAAAAAATTATTATTTTTTGTTCTTTCGAAGATAATAAAGAAAATAAATAAATAAATAATAAAGACAAAAAGCGAAATAATTTTTTAATAATACTCACTCGAATATTCGTGGAAGTAGAGGTTTGATTGCGTGCGTCGCTTGTTGTGGCGATGCTTTGAGACATGCTTCGAGGAGTCGCATAATTGCTAAAGTTCCCTCTGATCTCAAATCTCCAAGAATTGATCTTAACGTCTCCATTATCACTGGACCGTTTTCTCTCAAAAATTCTTGAGGACTTAGAAATACATATCCTTGTATTATATACAAACACGAAATCAAATATTCTGATGACATTTCTGAAAGTCAGGTTTTACTTGATGAGAATTTAATTAAACGAATATTTAATTATTCAATTCGTAGTTAAATTTATTATTATAATTAATATTATTATTATTATTTTTTATTATTATTTTCGAAAAATAAATTTAAAGCTACAAAAAAAAATAAAAATTTGAAAATTCAAATTATTATTAATAACAATATTTATAAAATTTAAGACACTATTAATAGATATAGGGATTAACACTTTAATCAGAATAGAGAAGACAATGGAAATTTTTAAATTACAATTTTGCGCTTTTAACAAAGAAATATTTTCTATTTATCGAAAAATTTTTAAATATTTAAAAATATCACCTACCTTTACTTTTTTTTTAAATATTTAAAAATACTTAATAAAATATAAACATTTTTAATTATTCACAATTTTGAAAAACTGTAAAATTCAAAATTAGGAATAATTTTAGTTTTACTTTCCATTCGATTGGAAGCAAATTATTCACAGTTTCATTAAAAAATATTTTCTAATATTTTCTAATATTTTATTATTTAAAAAAACCGATAAAAATTAGCAAATTTAAAAACAATTTATCAGCTTTCTATAATTTAGTATAATAATTTTATATATTATTCAACGAAATTTTTGAAAAAAATAAACGAATTGTCCGAATACAACTCAAGTTCTTATTTTTCCTCTGATAAAAAATGGTTAAATAATCATTTTTTTAAAATGAAGAACGATTTTCCAAAGTTAAAATTTTAGTGAAAAAGAAATCGTACCAAAATTTTTTGTTCCAAAAAATAATTTTCCAAATTTGTCATTTTTTCTTTAGTTTCAAAAACGAATTTTCAAAGAAACTTTCTCGATATTTGTAAAAAGGGTTTTTTTGGGGAAAAGTTTTAAAAATATGATAATAAGAAAAAAGTAATTTTTTTTTTTAAATTATATACAAAAAAAGGGCAAACAGAGAATAATTTACCGAAGTATTTAAATTATTTTAGTCTTTTAAGTTTGACTAATTTTTTTCTTATAAATACTTTTAGATATTTTTAATAAATAATCAATGAAATGGGGAAGAAAAATTCAAGAATAAAATTTAACGAAAACAGCAAGAAAATATTAGAGAGAATGAGAAAAAATTTAACGAACCTAGAAGTGAAGGCATATTTTGAAAGAGACCCAAAATATTGGACGTTAAATTTGGCGCATTTTCAACAAGAGCCAACCAAAGTTCGAGTCCATCTTGTAATAAATATACATGTCCTTCTTGATTCACATCACAACTTAGAGCAATTGCCCCAACGACAAAAGGTTCCAGAACATTACTTTCCGCTCCCATTGCCTGTAAAATTAGAAAGAAAACAATTTTTAAATTTATTTAAATTTAAATTTAAACGTTATTAAAATTCTACTTTATTTAATTCTAATTCGAATTCTAATTCGAATTAGAATTCAAATTCTATTAGATAAATTTTTTTAATAATAAAAACCTTTTCTAAATGAACAAGAGTGGAGACAATGGCACAACGCAACATATTGTGATCCTCTGATTGTTGCCAAAGTTCAGGAAGATATCCGCTCAACGCAGAAATATGCGGCTTTATTCCACTTCCCACCCTTTCGATCATAAAAGACAGAACGTAAAGCACACGCATCTGGAAAAAAATTAATTTTAATTATTACTAAATTATTCTTTATTTGTATTTTTAAAATTATTTTGTTTACTATTTTTATTGGGTTAGAAAATGAGAGAAAATGAAACGTTACATTTTCTCTTTTTCTTTTAACTTTTGGCAATCGGCAATATTTTTTATAAATACAGTCGAACCTGTCGAAATTATAATAAAATATAATTAAAAGTTTCAGTATAATTTCTACCTTTGTGTCGCATTCGTTAACTTCCTTGAGAAGAGCGAATAATAACGAAAATGCCGGTTCCAAAAATGGCGAAAAATCCTCTGTATTAAATTGAAAATCATCGATTGCAAGTTTTAAGGCGTCATTCGCAGCTAATCGAACACCTAAATCCTCATCAGGACTCAAGGCTTCCACCATTAATCCATAAAGTTCGGGTCTTAATTCAACACTCAATTTTATACCTTAAAAAAATAAACAAAATTTGAAGAAAAAAATCGAAGAAAATTTAAAAAAAAAAGAAAAACAAAATTTTTGATGAGAATATAATAAAATAAAGAATTTAACTAACAAAAAATTACGAAATTGGTAATTTTGGAAAAAGATGAAAATTTGAAATTGTTAATTTAATTGAGTGAAAAAAATAAAATTTCTAATGACTTACATGTCCATCGACCAATAAGCCAACAGACTCGCCTTCTTATTATTCTGTAATGATTGCTCTTTATTTTGAGCTCTTCCTTGAGCGTTGTCGAGAACCATTGATCGAAATTGACTTCATCATATAAATCGAATGCTGCAAGGCCAACGGCATTGTAAACCGCGTCTTTCATTAAAATTGCATGGAAATCATTTGGATCCACAAGTTGATGATGTCTTTGCATTAAATCAACCAAAACTGCGGAGAGAACCTCCGTGAATTGATTGAAAATTGTCATGAACAGCGATTCCGTACAGGGCTTGAGGAAAAAAAAAACGAAAAAGTTAGAAATTTTATTAAAAAAAGAAAATAACAGGGCTTGAACTAGGTCCGTAAATTTCCATCAAGTAATAAAAAACTCTTCTCAGAAATTCAATTACGTTCAAAAATTTTAAAAAATTCTCGTCAAAATTTCAATTATTATAATTATTTAAAAAAAAAATTTTTAATTCTACGCAAACATTTAATTATTTTCATAAAATAAAAAAAAATTTCACAGGAATTCAATTATTTACAAATTTTTAATAAATTTTTTCGCAATAATTGTTATTTTCATAAATAATGAAATTTTTAGAGATTCAATTATTAAAAAAAAAATGTAACAAAATTCGTGGCAAAAATTCAATTATATTCATTAATAATAAATCGATTATTCGGAAATTAATTTTTAAATCAATTTTTATCAGAAAATTCTACGAGATTTCAATTATTTAAATACGAAAATAAACAAGTTACTTAAAATTTAATTGTCATAAAGAATTTTATCAAACATTTTTAATTAATTGAATTCTTGTGACGAATTCGTTTAAAATTGTATTAAAAATAATTAAAATTCTGAGATGCGTTCTATTATTTATGAAAATAATTTGTTATTTATGTGAGTAATTAAAACCGTTTAAACAATTTTGTTATTTATGAAAATAATTGAATTTTGCAAAGAATTTTATTAAAATTCCTGAAAATAATTGAATTTTGCCAAGAGTTTTATTGAAATTTTTGAAAATAATTCAATTTCGGATAAGAATTTTATTATTTATAAAGATAATTGAAATTTTGAAGAGAATTTAAAAAAAATTTTAACATAAATGAATTTTTGCGAAGAATTTTATTATATTTGAAAATAATTGATAAGAATTAATAATTTTATTAAAAACTTATTAAAAATTTGTAAATAATTGAAATTCTGGAAAATTTTTATTATGAATTGAAATTTTAAAGAACTTAAATTTTTGTTGAAGAATTTTAATAATTTATTTTCTAAAAATTTACCCTTAAACTGTATTTCCAAGACTCGCCTCCATCGTCTAAGACTGAAAAAAATAAATTTATATTATAATTGAAATTAAATTAAATTTTATTAAAATTATTTAAAACTTTTATTTTAAAAATAGATTTAAGTAAAATTTGAAATTACCAAAATTTTCAGGATCAGAGTCCCAAAGTTCGAGATCCGCCGGTGTCAATAGAAAATAATGTGTCACTAGTCTTTTGCAAATTTCGTTTAACGTTTCAGGGGTAAAAAATTCTTGTTTCAATTGATATGCTCGTAGCATTAGTGGATTTTTCGTGTCTGTTGAAATGAAGCAAAAGAAATTTGCATTACGTTTGTTGAAATAGAAACAAAAAACGAATGAATGAAAGAAATTTAGAAAGAAGTACAATAAATTACTAAAACAATTATTATGATAATTATGTAAATTAGAATTATTTTTAGAAAATAAACAATTATTATGATAATTATATAAATTAGCATTATTCTTAGAAAATAAACAATTGTTATGATAATTATATAAATTAGAATTATTTTTAGAAAATTTAATATAGAAAAAAAATTATACCGTCAAATGATTTTCCTATTCTGTAATCCTTAGCAAGTAAAATAGACTTCATTAAATTTAAAGATTGAATAATAAATCTCTCAAAGGCGAGACTCTGTCCGGCTTCAGTGAAACAATAAAATACGGAAAATTCCAAAGACGTGGGAATTAATTCAACATAGCAAAATGGATGCATATCCAAAACTTCTAATAGAATTTTGGTGACTTGGATTATAAATTTATCGCACACGATCATTTGTATGCCTCTCGATTGAAGTGTTTTTCCTGAAAATAAAAGGAAAATAGATTAAATTACAAACTTGTTAAATGAAATTAAATTCAAACAAAATTTATTGAAATTAATTAATTTGAATTAATAATAAATTAATAAATTGGAAAAGTAAAATTAAATACACGTACTGCATTCAAGACTAATTTTAGCCTTTTCGAAAATAACTTTGAGAAACAGCATTGCGTCCTGTGACTCGGAGGGCTTTGGAAATCCATTGACAACTAATTTTTTCAATATCCTTAATAACAATAAAGCCTTTTCCAATGTCTCTTGAATTTGATTGATGTCACCTCCGTTCGTCACTAGCATATGAAACGATTCCGTGTACGTATTCCATAAATTCAAAATATAATTGAACACATTTGTGGTTAATTCACGAAAGAGAATGCGATCGAACATTAATCGTTTCGAGGCCAATGTTTTAACAACTTGATGGAGAGTTAAAAGTGATCTGTGTTGTGCCAGTGGATCCTGTCCACGTATCACTTCCAATAATGTTGGCACCAATGAATTCCACACTTTTGGACAATCAAATCTGTAAAATATTTTTTTTTTCAATCTTATTCGGTATTTTTTAATAATTCTCTACTTTTTGTTTTCTATTTTTTATTTTCTACTTTTCTACTTTTAAATATCTATTTCCCTCCTTTAAAATTTCTACTTTCCTACTTTTAAATATCTTCTTAACTTTTTTAAATTTATGTTTAATTCATTAATTTTATGTTATTAATGAAATTTAATAAATTTAATGCATTTAAGAAAAAACCGAAAAAACTGAAAAAACGGTTAAAATAGAAAAAAAGACCACATTTTTTTTTACCTTGCAATTTTTGCGATCAGCACTGAAATTTGTATAGCGAGTTGATTAACAGGTTCGTCAAACCTTGAAATTAAACCACCTCGTAGAAATTCCTTTTCATCCTCGGCAATTTCGCTGTTAAATTAAATTAATTAAATAACTTACTATCTAACTAAAAAGATTTAAAAATAAAAAAAAAACATTTGCAAAAAGCATTTTTTTGTATTTTATATAGAAAATTCAATAAAATTTGCTTTTAAAATTATTAAATAGATTAACAACTTTTGAAATAAGATTTATATAAACTATTTACAGAATATATTTATAATTTGTGAAAGGAAGAAATAAATTCTAATTACCCGGGAGCACCTTTGCGCCAATAACGGTCGACACCATTTTTAAAATATAAAACAGCCAGCCATCTGATATTCACATGGAGACTGTGATTTGAAAATACATTCTGAAAAAATTCCCCCAATAAAATATATTAAAACAAATTTCATATAGATAACAAAATTTCTTTTTATTATTTCATAATTTTTCGAAATTATGATGACAATTTACGAAATTTCCCTGACAATTTACTGACATTAAAATTATTTTCCCTGACAAAATTATTTTTACAGAAAAATAGAAAAGTTTACGGAAAATAAGTAAAATCTAATAATTACAACTTTAACCTTTTCTGAATTCATTATTTTCCACAATTTTTAACTAAACTTCATCTCTACGTCAATTATTTTAAATAATTTTCCGATAGTTTTTTTCGAATTTCATTATTTAAAAACAAAAATTCAATTTTTTTAAATAATTAAATTTTTTATAAATAAAAATAAAAATAATCAAACTTTTGAAGAATTTTAATTAAAAATAGTAGTTTCTAAAAATATTTTAATGTAATTTTTCGAAAATAATTGAATTTCTCAAAAGAATTTTTGTATAATTTAAAAAAACTAATTAATTTTTAGATGAATTTTAATGAAATTATTTGAACATGATTTTTTTCTCCAAAATGTTAAAAATAATTCTAAATTGTTATTTTTTGTATGTATTTGAATTTTCAGAAATATTTTAATTGAAAATACTGAAAATATTGAATTTTAAGAAATTAGAAGCTAATTTTCATATTAATATTTTCATTTTTACATTTACATTTAAAGATTTTCCATTAAAATTTTTGATACTTAATTCAATTAATTTTAAATTAAAACTCTTTAAAAGTTGATTTTCAAAAATTTTAACAAAATATTTGAAAAAACTTCATTCTTTTCAATTAAATTTTACAAAACTTCAACTATTCAAAATGATTTTTATTATAGATATATATTTGAAAAATTTAATTATCTTAAAAAATGATTCAATAAATAATTTTTGAAAGATTTGTTTAGTTTAATTTCGTATTTCCCTGATTTCCAGACAGAATTTGAACTTTTTCCCTGATCCCTATGAAATGAAATTCAATAGGAAATGAATTATCAAAAAAAGAATAATAATTTATGAAAACAAAAATTTTAAGGATGTCTATCTATTTTTAAAAATAAAATTAATTATCGTAGCAGAATTTCTTAGATTATTTTGAAAATACTTAAAAAATCTTGAAAAATTCAATAAATTTTAATAGAATTTTAGGAAATAGAATTTTATCTAATATATAACAATATAAAATAAAAATTCTTAGAAAATTCAATTATCTTTTAAAAATATAGAATTTGAATATTTTATAAACTCTAGTTTTTCAGAATTTTAAATAAATTTTTTCGAAATTTCAACTTTTTAAAAAGATTTTAATTTAAATCAAATTTATATTATATATTATACCATATTAAAAATTTGAAGATCTTTCTTTTGACTATGTTTCATAAATTTCTTCTAAAACCTATGAGGAAACCAGTTTTTTAGTACTGACAAAAATATCTTATTAAAAATAATCTACTTAATTAAAAATGACTAAATTAATGTAATTTATTATATCTCAAGTATTAAATTAAAATTCATTGGAAATTCGATTTTTTAAAAAATCTGTAATGAAAGTGTTTGACAAACTTAATTATTTTCTATTCGATTTCATCAAATTTCAACTTAAAAAAATTGAATTTAAATTTCTCGAAAACCTAATTGTTTTTAGAAATTCAAATGTATTTGAAACACCTTCTCTTCTTTTTTTTCTCGCAATCATATTTTCTTATTAAGTTAAAAAAGTTATTTATTTATACCATAAATAATTTATTCCTTTTAATTTTTAATATTTTTAAATGTAGTTTTATGCTCTGAAGATGAGCTGATATACGAGCTTAAAAAGTTGACATAAAATAAAACAAAAAAGGTATTTTTTCACCAAAAAAAAAATTACCAATAAGTCATTTTATTTGAAATAAATAAATTAACTTACAAACAGAGCGGTGTAAAAACCTCTTTCTGTTTCCCATTGTCGTAAAGTTTGCACAGCTGGTTTGAAAACATTAGGATCTTGATTGCCAGCTCTTTCGAGCACATCAATCACAGCATCATCCATGTTCTCCTTCTAAAGAATTGTATTTTATTCCCTCTCTATAAGTAAATTGTGTACAATTATTTTAATGATTCAATAGACTATAAACCTTGACAAAAATAACTCCAAAATAGTGTTTTAATACTTTAGAGCCTTTAGAGTTTTTATACTAAAAATAAAAAATATAATAAATAATAATAAAATATAAAATAAATTCTTACGATACTAGCAAAATTTATTTTTCCAGAATATTCTAATCTTGTTCTAATAAAACGGATATTCGGGATTTTCCGAATACTCCTGGAATTATCTTCTAATTATTAAGAATTAGATACTCATGGATATTCCAGGAATATCAATTTATATCCCATTATCATAAAATTAAATACTTTGAAAAACAATATAGAATATTTATTACATTTTCTCTAAATATAAATTTTGAACGTAATTCGCATTATAGAGCGAACACGATTTCTAACCTCAAAATTGACAATTTGGAAATAATTGTGAATAAAATGACATTACCTTTTTTCAGGACAATATTGAAATTAAATATTCAGTGCACTCCATTTAATTTTCAATAATTATTTATGAAATTTGTTCATAATTGTAATTTCTAATAGGAATATTTTCATTAAAATGTCATTGCACCGCAGAAAGTGTCGGCATTTGTATCAAAAGCAATAAATTTACTTTCTCGCTATTTATTTGCAACTTCTTCTTCTTCTTTTTTTATATATTCTTATATAATTATTATTTATCCAAAGAATAACGTTAAACACAAATTAGGTCACTGAATGTTCATCATTCTCTCATATATAAATTATATATGATAAAAGATGAATTATTTTTCTCATCGATTTCAACGACTTGTCACACACACGATACCGTGTATATATAATTCGAAAATAGCTCATATATTGAATAAGGTCACGACCTTTTTTCGATTACAATTTAAATAAACAAAAATTTCATTTCTTTTTGAAAAAAAATTTTTTCTTCTCTATTTGAGAATTTTTATTTAATTTCTTTGATTTTTTTGAAATAAAAAATTGTATTTTTATTTTAGTAATAGAAAAAATTAAGGGAAAAAAAATGACATATGAATTAGAATTAAATAGAAAATTTTGTGTTTGAATAAATATTATAATTATGATGAATTGATAATTGGGGAAATTAATTGTTTTCTTAATTATTGACGATGGGATTAATTGAAATGATTGTTTACTCAGAATGTTTAAACATATTTTCCACTTTCTAATGAAAATGGAATGTCAATTTGATTCACTTTTTTAACTTCCGGACAGTTGTGCCAACGTGTTTTTTTGGAGAAAGGAAAGTGATTATTGTGATTGGTCGGTAGGTAAAATTATTTAATTTTATCTCTACTTGGAATAAATTGCTTTTTTCTTATAAAGTTTAGGAATTATTTGATAAAAAGTAATTGTTATTATTAGGAAGAATTTATATTATTTTAATAATTGTTTAGAGAAAAGTATTTTATAGAATTATTTCAAATAACGCGCGCTGTTTCCAATTTTATTGTTGGCAGGTTGGTACCCCAATTTCCGTTTTAGTGCACTCTGGTGATAAATTAAGGAAACTTTCTTTCTTTCATGATTCGTGGTAAGCGGTGATCGTTTGTCACGATGAAGGTAAGAATCGTGTTTTATTTACAAAATCGTTAATAATTGTTGATAAATAATTGATTTTTCGTAAACAAGAATCTCCAAAGAAAGTGTTTCTGTTAATATTAATTGTTTCACATTTAAATTACAATCGAAATAAAAGTTCTAAATCTCGTCTTGTCACCTGCCGCTTAGTGTCACTTTTCAATAATATTTTTCATTCCGTTTTGTTATATTTCGACAAATTGATAATATTTTTTTTTGCTGTGAATTGAACTTTTCGGAAATGAGAAAAAATATTCAAAATTGGTTTTTGGAAATTTAAAACTAAAAGTAAAAATTGTAACGTGGAGTGAACATAACCTCAAAAAATGGATGTTATTTAATATAAAGTGAAAATGTCAATTTGTTTATTAGATGCGTTTATAGTGGTAAATAAAAAATAATGTTATGTTTTTTAGTTGAACGTTTCATATCCGGCAACAGGATGCCAAAAATTATTCGAAATATCCGACGAGCACAAGCTCAGGATGTTTTACGAGAAGCGTATGGGTGCGGAAGTTGAGGCCGATTCTTTAGGTGATGAATGGAAGGGCTACGTTGTTCGTGTTGCTGGTGGAAATGACAAACAAGGTTTTCCCATGAAACAGGGTGTTTTAACAAATGGTGAGTCGATTTTTTAACAATATATTCAGGGATTGTTATTAAGAGGACTGGGAAAAATTAAATTTTTAGAATTCATAAGAAAACTCTGAATTTTGGAGTAATTTTTGTTTGACTCATAAACTATGAAATTATCACGAATTCTAATACAAAAGCTTCAATTTTTTCTGTTTTTGTCAATAATTTCTTTTTAAATAACTTAATTCTTGAAGAACTAAGTATCATAAAATTATTACTTGTAAATTATTTAATTATTTACAATTTTTATAAATAGATGAACATCAAAAGGTTTTAATTTGAAATTTCAGCAAATTTTCAATTAATTTAATAAAAATTTTTAAAGAGCTCCGATTTTTGAAAAATTTTAATCATTCAAATTCTTCTGCAATTTCTTCGCAATAATTCAATTATTTTCATAAATAATAACATTTTTTTACAGAGATTCAATTATTTTCATGAATAATAAAACTTATCGTAGAATTTTTTATAATATATTAATTAATTATTAAAAATCATTGATTTATAGAAGAACTTTATTTAAAAACATTAAAATAATTAAATTTTTTATAAATTTCTACGTAATAATTCAATTATTTTCATGAATAATAAAATTTTTACAGAGATATGAATATATTCTTAATAATTTTATTAAAATTTGTCAAGAGAATTCAATTATTTAAAAATTTGTTGATAAAATTCTTTGAGAATTGAATTTTAATAAACATTCAATTATTTACTTTTGTATTTAAATAATTGAATTCTCGAAGAATTTTCTAATAAAAATTGAATTAAGAATGAATTTCATTTAAAATTTTAGATAGTAATTGAATATTAAATGCATTATAACGTGAATTTTTAGAAATAATTGAATTTTGAAAAGGTTTCAATTTAAAATCTTTGAAAATTTGAATTTTTCATACTTTTAACTAACAATTTTGAAGAATTAATTTTTTTTTTAAAGTTGAATTGAATTTTTTTTTTTTTAAATATTTCAAATCTTTATTTTCAAAATAAATAATTAAAGAATTTCTGAATAATAGAATTTTCTAAGTTGAATTGTAAACAAATGGATTTGAAAATTCTCAAGGAACTTTTGCAAAAATTGTTAAAAATAATTGATAATTGATTTCTTTTGAAGAATTTTAATAAAAATTTACATTTTTCGAAGAATTTACTTAAAATGGAATTAAAAAATAATTGAAATCCTATGAAAAATTTTATTATTTATGAAAATAATTGAATTCTTACACAACGAATTTTATTACATTTTTTTAAATAATTGAATTCATGTAAAAAATTGTATTACTAGTAAAAATAATTGAATTCTTGCGCAGAATTTTATTAAAATTTTTGTAAATAATTAAATTTTTTCTGAAAAATGTTATGGAAATTTTAATTATTATAAAACATGAAGATAGCAATCACTCTATATGAATTATTCAATCACTCTATAATCATTCTATATGAATCGATATCTTCATGTTTTATAATAATATTCTTATTAGTTGTTGAATTTAAAAAATGTTTGAATTTGAAATTTTTTGAAACTCTTAAAAATTATGGTAAATTATAAAAATTGATTTACGGTTTACTACAAAAAGTTTGACTATTTTTATGTTAGATATTTATTTTCTTAGAAAAATAAGACTTTAGTTTTAATATTTAAGTTAAAAGTTTCTTTGAGGAATATTAATGTTTCTTTCTTTTCAAAGGTCGTGTACGTCTCTTGTTGTCAAAGGGACATTCTTGCTACAGACCTCGTCGCGATGGAGAACGGAAACGTAAATCCGTTCGTGGATGCATTGTGGATGCCAATCTTTCGGTTTTGGCACTTGTCATCGTGAAGAAGGGAGAGCAGGTAATAAACAAAGTCTATGAAATTTAATGGACTTTTAATTGTTTTTCAAATATTTTTAAAACATTTTTTAATCAATTTTCCATCAATTTTTTGTCTACTTTTAAGTACAGTTTTTCAGTTAAATTATTTTTTAGTCCATGCTATTACAAATTTCAGAGAAATTATTTCTTTGAAAAAGTAAAATCGCATGGAAGAGAAATTCGTTTTTTTGATTTGGGAACTTGTGTCTTGTAAAATATGCGCTTTTTCTCAGTGTACGAACGAAACATGTTTTTTTTTTTTTGATTAAATGAAAAATCTAATATATGAAATTAATAAAAAGCAAAAAAAAAGATAAGAAATTATATTTATAGATAAAGAATTCAAGTATTTTTCTTTTCTCTTTTTAAAGGAAATTCCTGGATTGACTGATAATAATATCCCACGTCGCTTGGGACCAAAAAGAGCGAGTAAAATTCGCAAGCTCTTCAATTTGACGAAACTCGACGACGTTCGTCGCTTTGTCGTTAAACGTCCAATTCAAAAGGAAGGCAAAAAGGAACGCTTCAAGGCACCCAAGATTCAACGATTGGTCACACCACAAACTTTACAGGTGCGAATTTCTTTTGTTTATTGAAAAAATTAACATTTGAAACTTAAAATTAAAGGTTTCCAGTACTGTAAAATAAAAATTTTCAGTCCTGAGTTTTTTATTAGAGCTTTATGTAAAAGTCGATGCGATTTTTATAAAATTTAGCAGAAGAGGAAGATTTTTTTAATTGTATAATAAAATATTTTAAATATTTACAGAGGAAGAGACATAGGGTGGCTTTGAAGAAGAGGCGTTGTTTGTCACGTAAGGAACAAGCGGCAGAATACGCAAAACTTTTGGCTCAAAGACAAAAGGAAGCGAAAGCCAGGCGACAAGAGGAACTCAAGAGAAGGCGCAGTGCTTCAATGCGCGATTCTAAATCTTCAAGTCAATCGGCACCACCCGCGAAAAAGTGAACCATTTCTCTTGTAAAATTCAAATAAAATCGGTTTGATTATTAATTTTCATTTTTCTTATTCATCATTATTATTATAACGCATAGTTTTAATCTAGAAATTATTTTTCTTTTCTATTATACAATAAGTTGAACTAAAAATCAAAATTTAAAAATATGTCCTTTTTAGTAAATTTGCAAGTCCGTAAAAGTCAGTTTTTTAAAAAAAAGGTCCGTAAAGTTCGTAATTTTATAGAAAAAGGACGAAAAGTTTATAAATTGTACGATAAAATTTAAAGGATTTTAAAGAAATTACAAATGATTGCAAAAGTTAAATTATTTTCAAAAGTAATAAAATTCTTCGCAGAAATTCAATTATTTTCAAAAATTTTAATACAATTCTTGGCAAAATTTCAATTATTTTCAAAAATTTTCCTCCATTAAATGATTTTCAATATTTATTATTTTAATAAAATTTTCAAAAAGAATTCAATTATTTTTTTTAAAATTTGATAAAATTCTTCGCAAACATTTAATTATTTTCATAAAATAATAAAAATTTCACAGGAATTCAATTATTTACAAATTTTATATAAATTTCTTTTCAATAGTTCAATTATTTTCATAAGTAATAAAATTTTTACAAAGATTCAATTATTTTAGTAAATACTATGTGACGCGATCTGAAGAAAGGGACCTTAGAAGCAAAAAATTATAGGTTATGTTTGCAATTTTTTAAATGAAAATACAAAAAAAGGATCAACTGTCAATATAAATCATTAAAGTTTAAGTCTTCATTAAAACTAAAATATTTAATAAACACTGATTTTAATTCGAAATAAGTAAAAAGAAACTTTCAAACAAGAAAAAAGTAACTCTAACCCAACCTTAAAATGATTTGCTTCTAAGGTCCCTTTCTTCAGATCGCGTCACCTATAATTCTTTTTAGGAACTCAATTATTTTCATAAATAATAAAACTCATCGCAGAATTTCAATTATTTTTAATACAATTTTATTTCGAATTTCTCGAAAAAAATATAATTAAAATTTTTATTAAAATTCGTCCAAAGAATTTAATTATTTAAAAATTTGTTGGTATAATTCTTTACGAAAATTTAATTTTAAGAATCATTTAATTATTCAATAAATTATTTATTTTGTATTTCAATAATTGAATTCTAGTAGAATTTTTTAATAAAAATTTATTTAAAAATTAATTTTAGATAATAATTGAATATTAGAAGAAATATAGCGTAAATTTTAAGAAATAATTGAATTTTGAAATTAATTTTTTTGAAGAAGTTTAATTGCGGATTTTTTTTTATAAAAATTATTTAAAGTTTTTATTTTCTATTTGACTCGGAATGGTTATATTTTTGTCAGTATTTTTAAATATTTCACTGGTTTGAGACCTGAAAAGAAAGAAACAATTTTCATTTTTTTCTCTTTGAAACAAATGAAAGTCGGAAGTATTTTGACATTTTTGAAATCACGTTGAAAAGAATGTATGTATAGTGTAGTGAAAGATAATAATTTGAATTTCTAAATTTTCGAAAATAAGAATACAATGAACGTAGATTATGTTTAAATGATAAAAAATCTTTTGAGTTACTCAAAATGGAAAATAAAAAAAATCACAAAGAATCTTCTAATTATGAATCCGTCGATTGCTTAGCACAAAACACTGTTGGTGATGTAAATTTTAAGAAAAATTTCAAATCTATGGACAAAGTTAGTGAATTTGGTGGAAATTACGAAAAATCGAAATTTAATCAAGTTCATAAAAATGAATGCGAAGAAGTATGAAATTTTTATTATTTGGATCTTTTAATAGAAAAATAAACAACCATAGAATTTATTATGATTTTAATGGAAGTTATTTTAGAGTAAAAAATATTTTTACAAAATTAATCAATTCTTTTTTTTTTGGTTTAGTTAATTATATTGTCGGACAAGGATCAAGAAACCGAAAAACCGTGTAACCTTAATACAAACAGTGAAATTGTCTCTCGTTATCCAGAACTATTTGAAATTTTTACCGAATCATCGAAATCGAATCTTAATTCAAAATCGGAAATTAGCAGTGAAAATAATATTCCACAGGAATTAATTGAGAAATCAAAAAAAGAATTTACTGGAAGTTTATCAAAATTTCCCGAAAATCATTTCGACGAGGAAGTCAGGACAATTAAGGAAATTTTATTAAAACAAAAAGTTAAAGAAAAATCTCCTCAAATTAAAATTGAAAATATCGTACCGGAAAAATTATCTTCTCTTCAATTTTCTAATAATGATGATTGTAAAAAAGTTGTGAACTTGAGAAAAAGCGACAGACCAATTTTATTATTTAATACACAAACAAATTCAAGTCTTTCGACTATTGCCAATAAAAATACAACGAAAGAGCTCAAGATTCCAATAAAACGAAAAAATTCCAATGATTCGGTTTTGGAAAATAATTCGAATTCAAAGTTAAAAAAAATGACCGATTCAAATGATAATATAAGAGTTAATTTGCGACATAATAATACAATTTCGATGAATTTGGAAAAAAATACACAGGGCGATGTTAATAAGATGAAAGTAAATGAAAAGAACGATAAAGTAAAAATAACTGAGGAGAAATATGAGGAGAATAGAAAGAAAATTTTTCTAAATGTTATTGACACTCTGATAGGTGTGAAAGCAATTTTATTTGAAAATCGCAAATTAGTCGAATCAATACAGGGATATTTTCAAAATTGTTCAATTTTTCATACAATTATATCTGACGATGCTGTCACATTGTTGAATGAAGGAATTACGAGGTAATGAAATAATTATAAATATAATTTAATTTAAATTATAAATATAATATAATTTAATAAAAAACATTATTCAGTTTGAATTTTTTAATTAAATTAATTTTTTCAATTATTTTAATATAAATTAAATTTTAATTCATAGTTTTAAATTTCAAAAAATAAGTTATTTTAAGTGTTTTATTTAAAAATTAATTTAATTTCTCTTTAAAAATTATTTAACTTTCTGCAAAAAAAAAAATTCTTTTTCTTATAAAAGAAATCTTATTCTTCTACAGATGCACAATGAGAATTCAATGTAACGAGAAAAGTAAAGATTTATTTGTCGGAGCTAATGAATTATTAATGGAAAGTGTGAAAAATCTAATGAAAGTCGTAAAGGAGGAGAGGGAATATTTAAAGCAACAAGGTTTCTTTGTTGAAAAATAATTACTTTAAATAAGAAATAAAAAATTTTTTTATTTAATAAATCTTTTCGGAAATTACAGAATATTATTGCAAACATTTTCTTCGTGGAACGAAAAATAATAGGAACACTGGACTTTCGAAGAGAAATGTAATAATTATTATTAATACAATTAAAAATAGAAATTAATTTCTTAAATTAGATAATTATAAATGTATTTTTTTATTATTATTTTATTTTCTGTTCTAAATAATAGATTTATTAAATAGAAATTTTTTTTTATATTTTTAGACGAAACACACGCTCATTGGAAATGATAATCTACTGTCTTTGAGTAAGAAAGATCGAATTGAGCAACTAATTACTTACAGTGTTTCTTTGATAAAACAAATCGTGGCGAAGAAGTTTCTGTTAAAAACGGAAAATTCTAAAATGTCTCCGAGAAGGTAATTTTAATTTTTCTTTCAACTTGATTTTTGTAGGAAATTAATATTAAATTTATTATTATTATTTTGAACAGAAAAGGAAAAATTGAAGCAGAAGGAAAAACACAGATGGAAATTATTCCAAAAGCCAAAAATCATTTATGTCACGAAATTGAGGATAATTCGAAAAATTTAAAAAGCGGAAGAAACGAATCTAAAACAATATCGAAAATAAATTCTTCTATGGAAAAATCGAATCCAATTGTGTCGTCATTAAAATTAATGAATAAAGATTCGAATAGTGAAAAATTGACGAGATCGTCAACAATTATTTTACCGGGAAATTGTAGTAGTTCGAGGCAATTTTCAAATTCGAGTAGGGGACGAAATAATTGTAATACACAACCAATATGGAAACCAGCTGGTAATGTTAATGTTACACTTCCGGGGAGACCAATTTCCCGGCAAAATACACGATTAATCACTTCCTCGTTGAATAAGAAACGGGATGAAAAAACTGACGATGTTTCGTTAAGGTAATTGGGAAAAATTTTCATTTTCAAATGTAAACAAAAACAGGATTGCCACAGGTCAGGGAAATCAGAGAAAAGACAGGGATTTTTTATTAGAATTCAATTATTTTCTAAATTAAGAAAATTTTTCGCAGAAATTCAATTATTTTCAAAAAATCTAAAAAAAATTGTTGTCAACGATTCAATTATCTTTATAATTATAAATAACAAAATTTTTCGACAAAATTCAATTATTTTTAAAACTTTAAAAAAAAATTCATTTCAAAATTTCTATTTGAAAATTTATTTATTTATTTTTTTGTATATTTTTTTTATTTCTATTTCAATTTTTCTTAAATTTCAATTTTCTACTATTTTAAGAAAATTTCTCAAAAGAATTCAATTATTTAAAACCAATTTTGCCAAAATTCTACACGAACATTCAATTATTTTTATAAATTTTAAAATTCCTTTCAGATATTTAATTATTTTCATAAATAACAAAATCATTCGAAGGAAATCAATTATTTTCATAAATAACAATATTCATCAAAAGAATTCAATTATTTACAAAAGTAATAAAATTCAATTATTTTCAAAAATTTTAATAAAATTTACCAAAAGAATTCAATTATTAAACAAAAATTTTGATAAATTTCTACACGAATATTCAATTATTTTTCAAAAAAATATACAAAAATTTTACAGGAATTCAATTTTATATAAAATAGAATTTGCATAAATTTTTTGAAAAAAATCATTTGTTAGAAACTTTTTATAAAATTCTTCGCAATAATTCAATTATTTTCATAAATAATAAAACTCATCGCAGAATTTTAATTATTTTTAATTTAATTTTAATCAAATTTCTCGAAAAATGTAATTATTCTTAAAAATGTTATTAAAATTCGTCGATAGAATTTAATTCTTATTAAAAATTTGTTGATAAAATTCTTTATGAGAATTGAATTTTAAGAAATATTCAATTATTCAATAAATTATCTATATTTGTATTTAAATAATTTAATTCTCGTAGAATTTTCTATTAAAAATTGATTTAAAAATTAATTACAGTTAAAGTTTTAGATAATAATTTAATTTTGGAGAATTTACTAATAATTGCAATTTTTAGAAATAATTGAATTTTGTAAGAGTTTCAAATTAAAATATTTGAAAATTTGAGTTATTCATACTTTTAATTAAAAATTCTATGGAACTAATTTTCTTCAAAAGGAATAATCGAAATTTGTTGAAATTATTTCAAATTTTTTTTTTTAATTTAATTGGCCAGGGAAGAAGGCCAAATTTTTTCTGGTAATCAGGAAAAAGTCAGGAAGAAATAAAATTAAATTTTTGTGTCAACTCTGAAAAAAAATCCGAAAAGCTAAAATTTATTTTCATATTTAATTTACAGAAATCCGACAAGTTCGCGAAGTAATGATCCGAAAAAACTACCAATTTCGCATAAAATACAACGATCATCGTCAAGCATGGGTGCTTATGATTTAAGAAAAAAATCCGACAATAGTTCTCCGAAAATTGAACAAAAATCAATGAGTGCAAGATTAGAAAATAAAAAATCTAATTTAATCGCAAATTCAATCGAAAGTGGAGAAAGTTTAACAAATAAAAATTCTGCACGTGCAAAATGGAAGACCCGACAACCAGAAGTTATACAAATGTTGAAGGAATTAATAAAAAATAATTCCGAAGAGGAGAAGAAAATTTCGACAAACAATTCAAAAAATTCATTGAAATTGAAGAAAATTGATAATTCTCTGTTAAATTTAAAAGCGGAAAATTCACAGTCAAAATTGTCTATTAAAAATAAAGGCGATTCAAAATCGGGAATTGCAATAACGCGAAATATGAGTGAGGATAAAATTGATGATAATTCATCGAAAACAAAATTAAATCATAAGAAATATTTGCGAAAAAATGCCAGTGACTCGAGTTATTTGGAGAGTTATATTAAATTGAATTCGCGACAAAATCACCCGACGAATTCTCGTAAATCTTTGAGTGAAAAAATTAAATCGAAAAATTCTTCTCAAGTTGAAATTAAAGATAAAAAAGAGGAGGGGAAAATTGACGATAATCGTCTAGAGAAAACGAATAATTCAAAATCGTTGTTCAATTTTCAAGATTGTAATAATTCGCAATCGACTTGTGAATTGGGAACGAAAATTTCATCATCAAAATCATGTCAAGTTTCTTTTGAAACTTCATCTTGTTCAAGAAATTCGGATCCTGTTCTCGATACCGAAACGAATTCTTTTGAATCTGATAATCAATGTTCGGAAACTTTTATCGAAAAATCGGATCAATTTGTTGATAAATCGAAAAAGAGTTTTTATCTTCTAAAAGAAATTCTGGAGAAATATGGATTTAATGTGGATTTAGTGGACAATACGGAAAGGTAAAATTTATTTCAAATAAACAAAATTAATTTCAGTACAAAATTTATTTCAAAATTCATTTTTTCGAATATGAACAGTAGAAATTAAATAATAATTATTTTATATAATAAAAATACTTAATGTTAATTAATTCAGAATCAAAAAAATATTTTTTATTTAATATCAAAATTTGTTTATTATTTAATTATCAAGTTATTATTTATTATTGTTCTTATTAAATTTGAAATTTTGTAATAAAAAAATTTTATCATTTTTATAGAAAATCGAATTTAACGGAAAATGGATCTTTCTCGTCAATTTTGCTGGACAAGGAAAGTGGTGCAATTGTTGCTGTTTGTTCCTCGCAAACTTTATTCGATAAACTCACATCTCTATCCGACAGCGATTTGGAAATAAAAAACATTATGAATCATTTTTCCCTCGAATCAATTGATAATGAGAGTCAAGTGAGGAAAATTGAAAGAAAGAAAAATTTGGAAATTCTCCAAATAACCGATAAAATGGAGAATAATTTGAGAATTTCATTTTCAAAGCACAAGAATAGAAGTGAAGAAATTTTTTCAATTAATTGCGTGGAATCGTGTGGAAAAATTGACGAGGAGAAAAAAATACAAAAACCACTTTCTGGAATTGAGGAAAAATTTTCTTTTGTCAATTTAATTTTAAAAGAAGAATCAGAACGGAAAATCAATAATTTTGTCAATGAGAAGAAAAATGAGGAAAAATTACTGGAAATTGAAAATCAGTCTTTGGAAAATTGTCAAAAAGAAGAAAATGAAGAAGATGGATTTATTTTTGATAATTTAGTGAAGGAGGAAGAAAATTGTGAAGAAGTGAATATTCCTTGCGAAGGGGAGAGAAATGTAAACACTGTGAATGGAAAAAATGAGGAGGAAAAAGAATCTATTTTGATAGATATAAATTTAAATGATAAAACTGAATTTTCAACAAATACAAATTCGTATGAAATTTCTCCCTCAGATGCAAGAGAAAAAGAAAATTTTTCATCCATAAATTCAAATTCGAAAGGAAAAATCACTTTTTCTCCAACTGAAGAAAAAGAATTTTCTCCTGTAAATTTATCTGAAGAAATAAATGAAAAAAATCATTCCGTAAAGTCGGAAAATTTCACTTTGAATAGAAAAAATAATTTTTCCCCAACTGAGAAAAAACAATTTTCTCCGAAAAATTTAACTAAAACAACAAATGAAAAAAATAAATCTGTAAAATCGGAAAATTTCTCTTTAAATGTAAAAAACAATTTTTCTCCAACTGAAGAAATAGAATTTTCTCCTTTAAATTTATCTGAAGAAACAAATGAAAAAAATAAATCTGTAAAGTTGGAAAATTTCTCTTTGAATGGAAAAAATAATTTTCCTCCAACTGAAGAAAAAGAATTTTCTCCTGTAAATTTAACTGAAGAAACAAGTGAAAAAAATAAATCTATAAAGTCGGAAAATTTGTTTCTAAATAGAAAAACTAATTTTTCACCAACTGATGAAAAACAATTTTCTCCGGTAAATTTATCTGAAGAAAAGAATGAAAAAAATAAATCTGTAAATTTGATGTCAGATAATTCGGTTTTGAATAATGAAGTAGAAAATAAAAGCGAAGAAAAATTAGTAGTGAATGAAGAAAAACGATTTTTTGCTGAAAATTTAACTCAAGAGAAAAAAATAGCAGAACTCGAAAATTTTGAAGAAGAACAGAAAAATTTAAAAACTGAATCTCTGAATTTTAATGTCAACGAAGAAAATACTAATGAAATTAATTCTTTTTCAATTTTAAAGAAAATTCCGAAAATTCAAGAATTTAAGAATTCAAGTTTAAACAAAGAAGTAGAAAATGAAGAATTTTTTGCAGTGAATTCAATTAATGAAAAAGATTTTTCTTCGGTAAATTTACCTTCAAATGAAAAAGTGGAAAATGAAGAAAATATCTCTTCAGTAAATTTAAAATTCTCTGAAAAACGAGTAAAAGTAGATTTAAATTTCCACGAAGATATTAAAGAAAAAAATAAAGATGTGAGAGAAGATTTAAATTCGCTGATTTTTTCGGAAAAATTAAATTCCAAAAAAGTGTTTGATGAAAGTATGGAAACTTCTTCAGTAAATTTTATTAAAGAATCAGTAAAAGAAGTTTTAAAATTAGAAGAGAAATTGAAAGAGAAAATTGAAAATTCGAAACAAAAATTATTTTCATCAAAAATTCAGGACGAACGAATTCAATTTCCAAAGGAAGTTAATTTCCAAAAAGAATCGAGCAAAGTCTCAATGGATGAAATGAAAAATAAAGAAGAAATAACTTTGGAAAATTTAATTTCAACTGAAGAATCAGTAAAGGAAGTTTTAAATAATCAAAATTTCCAAGAAAAAAATGAAGATTACAAAGAAGAAATAAATTCTTTAGTTAATTCAATTTTAAATAAACTGGAAAATAAAGAAGAAATTTCTTCATTCGATTCTTCAAACAAAAAAATTCTAAATGAAAAAATTCCTTCAGATAATTTAACATCAATGGAAAAACCAACAGAAAAAATTTTGAGTCCAAAAGAAAATTCCAAAAAAGAGAGAAAAATTACCAAAAAATTATTATCTTCTTCATCAAAAATTGTGAAAGACGAAAATATCGAAAATATCGAAAATATCGAAAATATCGAAAATATCGAAAATTCCAAAAATAAGGTAAAAATTACCGACAAATCATCATCTTCTTCATCAAAAATTGTGACAAACGAAAATATCGAGGAAAAATCAACGAAAATAATTCCACAAAATGAAAAAAGCGGAAAAAATTTGTTATTGAAGAAAAATGCTAATAAACGATTGGAGTTGAATTTGAAATTAAGGAAAAAATTATCACCAATCAAAAATGATGATGAACGTTTCAAAAAACGTTTAAATTCCGTTTTAAAAGCAATAGCAACAAAAAGTGAAAATATTTTACAAGAAACAGAAAAAAGAAAAAATGAAGATCATCAAATTACCTCAGATTCTTCTCCTCAAAATTCGAATTCGTGTTCAAAATTAAAAATTCCTTCTAAAAATAGTAAACAAATGGAAAATGTTACAAATTTCACCATTTCCAAAGAATATTCTCCAAAAATTGAAATAATAAAAAATAATCCCGAATTTAATGAGAATTTAAATCCTCCGAAAAAATTAATATCCACACTAAATTTTATTCCCTCGTTTACTACTATTTGGAAAAATGAAGAATCGGAAATAAAAATTGAAAGTAGGAACAAAAATTTTGAAAATAGCAAAAATACCGAAACATTAGAAAAAAATGTGTTAAATTTAGAAAATGAGACAAAATTAAAAGAAGAAATCAACGATGACAATGAGAAAAAATCAATAAAAAAGATGGAAAATTTATTTTCAACTCGAAAAAGAAGAAATAACAAAAAATGTAAATCATGCGGAAAACGACGTAAATATTCATCATCATCATCATTATTATCATCAAATAAAAATTGTCCCCTTGAAATATTCGAGTCATCCTCGGAATTATTAAAAACAAAGAGACAGAAAACAATTTTTCTCGACGATTATTCATTGCCAACGATAATAAAATGCAAGGATAGTAAAATTCATAAATTCACCATTAATGACACGCCAAATCTAATGGCACAAAATTTAGCAATGACAACACTTAAATTGGCAACAAAACGTGTGCAAAATTTATACAATAACGTTATTATTTGCCGACAATGCTTAAACACAACAGATAATTTGGAAAATAATTATTGTCCCATCGATAAAAATTGTTTGGATTTGAAAAATATTTTATTTGAAAGTAAACATGATTTTTCTTCTATCAATATTTCCAGTGGTAATGCAAAGAATTTTCGTAAAACAATGAAAACATTTAGAAATTCATCGAATCGAAGAGAAACATATCAGGGGGAAAATGGAAAAATTACAAAAATTCTCCTCAATGAAATTTTTTTGAAAGTATTTTTCATTTTTATTGTAATTTGCATTCTTATTCATTGGTGTTTTTACTGAAAGGTTTTTTCTAATTAAAGTATTTTATTTAAATATGATATTCAGTTGAAATATTTTATTTAAATGTGGAATTTATTTAAAATATTTTATTCAAATATTGTATTTATTTAAAATATATGACTTTTTTTTATTTTTGTTGTATATAATTCACAATTTAAGTTTTTGTACTTTTTGAATATTTTTCAAAAAGTGTATTTTTTCTTTATTTAAACAAAACTTTAACTTTTTGAGAAAAAAAAAAATTTTTATAATTGAAAAATATTTAGTTTAGGAATATTTTTCGTATTTTGACAATTTTTATACCAGTTTAATTCTTAGTTTTAATAATAAATAAATGAAAAACCAATATTTGTGTTTTTTTATTGAAAAAATTCGCTTTATTATTCTTTAGAGTTTTTACTAAATTAAAATTTTTTGTGCCACATCTATATAATTAGCACAATAGCAATAAATTTCTAGGTCATTAAAATTAATTTAATTCACGAATAATGAATAGCAGCCACAGTCGATAATCAGCAGGAGATGAAAATTTATTTATTGATGGAACTTTATCTATTGTTCATTAACAAAATTCTTAATAAACAAATTAATTATTGGCCCTAAACAATAACTAGCACAATACCAATAAAGAAAATTATTTTTTTTATCCCAAACTATAACTAGAACCATTCCAATTAATTTCTGGGTCATAAAAATTAATTTAAATCACAATTTATAAAAAGTAACCACAGCCGATAATCAGCAGAAGATGAAAAATTATTTTTGAGCGAACTTTATCTTCTGTTTACTAACAATTTTTAGTCATAAAATTTTTCACTGGTCCGAAACTATTACTAAAACAATAACAATTAATATCTGGGTCATAAAAATTAATTTAATTTACAATTCATAAAAAGTAATCACAGTCGATAATCAGTAGAAGATAAAAAATTATTTTTGAGCGAACTTCACCGTCTGTTTACTAACAATTTTTAGACATAAAATTTTTTACTCGTCCCAAACTATTGCTAGAATAATTCCTATTAATATCTGGGTCATAAAAATTAATTTAATTCACAATTTATAAAAAGTAACCACAGCGGATAATCAGCAGAAGATGAAAATTTATTTTTCAGCGAACTTTATCTTCTGTTTACTAAGAATTTTCAGTCATAAAATTTTTCACTGGTTCGAAACTATTACTAGAACAATTCTAATTAATATCTGGGTCATAAAAATTAATTTAATTCACAATTCATAAAAAGTAACCACAGCCGATAATCAGCAGAAGATGAAAAATTATTTTGGGCGAACTTTATCTTCTGTTTACTAACAATTTTTGGTCATAAAATTTTTTACTCGTCCCAAACTACTGCTAGAATAATTCCTATTAATATCTGGGTCATAATAATTAATTTAATACACAATTTATAAAAAGTAACCACAGTGGATAATCAGCAGAAGATGAAAAATTATTTTTTGTGCGTAGTTTATCTTTTGTTTACTTACAATTTTTGATAATAAAATTTTTTAATGTTCCGAAACTATTACTTGAACCATTCCAATAATTATATATGCCATCAAAATTAATTTAATTCACAAATAATGACTAGCAGCCACTGCCAATAATCAGCAGAAGACGAGTTTTTATTTTTTGATCCATCTTTATATTTTGTTTATTTACAATTGTTAAGAAACAACTCATTTTTTATGAATCCTATACTGTGTCTAAAACCTAGGTTTTTTTTATCCCCTTTCGAGTAGTAGTAAGCTGTTTACTTTTCGGTTGCAATAATAAATAAATAATAAACCGATCTCTGTTTTTTTTTTATTACAAAGAAAGTTTCAAATTTTTAAAAATTTGTAAAAATTGTTTTGAAAAAGATTTTTTTCTGTTTAGTTTTTTTTTGTTTTTAATAAGAAATAAATAAAAGACCAATTTATGGGGTTTTTTTTTATTTAAAAAAATAATTTAAAATTTTTTAAAATTTGTATAAAAATTGTTTTTAAAAATAGTTGTTTGTAATTTTTTTTTAAAATAAATATTCAACAATAAAGCAAAATATAATGAAGAAAATTCTTTTCAAATTAAAAGTTGCAAAAAAAAATATCACTCTTCAACGTCCACGGAAATTGATCCGGTAATATCGACAAGTTGCTTTGATGTGAATGTAGCGACAATTTTTTGTGGTCCCGATTTTTGTGGCACCAATTCATGTTCTACGTAAATATTCTCCTCTGGTGCAACATCGCGATATTCAATTGTCTTATTTTTCGATAATCCCGGACCGGCGTATTGAAATTTCGAATTTGTAAGTACCTTCTTCAATGGATTTTTAAAACTTAATGTAATAATCGAAGCTTTTCCCACTACAAGTTCACCTTCGATCTGGAAAGGAAAATTTGTTTTTGGTAAAGTAAGTTAACATCAATTTAAGTTAATTCAATTAATTAATTAATTAATTAGTTAATTAACTAATTAGTTAGTTAATTAATTAATTAGTTAGTTAGTTAATTGATTAATTAGTTAGTTAATTAATTAATTGATTGAAGTTAACATTAATTATTAGAGATTTAAATTTAAAGTGTAGTTTAATTATTTTCTATACTTAGTAAATATGGTAAGTGAAAATAGTATTTTAAAATTTTATGCAATTATGTTATGTGTTAATTACTCTATTGTGTTAATCAGCGAAAAATGACTATTTTATAAAATGATTTTTGCGTTTTTAGGTAATGTCTGTCGAGAAAGAAGGCCAACGAGTAATACCTTGACATCGATGCTAGGCTTGAGAACCTGAAAGTCGTCCTCATCTGCCCAAGTTTGTCTCGTTTCTTCCACAGACGCAATTGCATACAACTTCATTATACAATATTCCACCAGTTTCTCTAAATACTCATCGACTGTAACGGTGAGTTTCAGTTGTTCGTCTAAAAAGAAAGAGATAAAAAATAAATTCCATCCTAAAAATGTCAACTATTAGCCTATTTATTCAGCCTCTTTTTTATTCTCCTTTATTTAATCCGTAAAATATGTATTTTCTTTCCGCATTTCGAAAATTTGCATTTATTAAAATTCTTTAAATTTTATAAATATAAATTTTTTTTTTATAAATTTTGGAAAAACAATAAAATGGTGGGGGTAAAAATAGTATAAAAAAATATAATTTTAGACTCACGTGAATGTGGTTGAAGTGCAAATGAGCCTGACGCTCTTTTTACAATATTCGCCTTGATGCCAGTATAATAGACACTGCCAGCTGACAAAATTGCCTTAATTGTACGCACCTCGTTTGATTTATTTTCAATATTTACCGTAACTGTAAATGGATCTCCAATATTCACTCTCATCAAATCAACGAGATCAAATACCACGTCCTCTTTGCCTGGAGCAGGAAATGAGTAAAATCTCTTTGCCAAATCAACACTTCGTACTGCTCGATAAAGCGTCAATCTCTCTGCCGGAGTTCCTACAAAATAAATTTTTTTTTTAAAAATAAAAGAAAAAAAAATTAAAAGAAAAATGTGAATTTTTACCTTCTCTGGCTTTGTACAAATAAGTGATGTCCTCTTTATCAGTGTCACCATTTGGATCAAAGACCCAGGGAGCTTTTGTTAGGATCATTCGACCTATGCTGAAAGAAGCATTATTAAATATTTTACGGATTCTTCATATTTTGTAATTGTTTATTAATATGCTCTTATGGTCTGAAAATTAAAAGCGATGATCAACAAACCCTTGAAAACTACCCTTAATCTCAAATAATCACCCCCTGTCACAATTTTTTCTAAATTAGGTATTTACTGGCGGCCTTTTTCAAGACACAAATTTTTTCAATAAATTTCTATGACGATTAAAGTCTATAATAATAAGCTTCATCGTTGCAATTTATTTGCAAAATTCGTGTTTCAAAATACACTGAAAAAAAAATTTAATTGATTTAAATATCCATTTAATTGACTATTATCAATTAAATATTTACTTGAATCAAATAATATTTATTGGAGTCAATTAAATGGTATTTGAACCAAAAATTTCAGTATTTGAAGCAAATATGAATTGAACCATTCAATTGACTCCAATAAATATTATTTGATTCAAGTAAATATTTAATGGATAATAGTCAATTAATCGGTTAATTGAATTAATTAAATTTTTTTCAGTGTATACTCGCAGTAGAAGGAAAAATTATTTTCTATTATCCTTTTAATTTATTCTCTAAAAACAAATGTATTCAATTTTAATGTATTGCATATTTTTATTCTTTGCTGATTATAATAATAAAACAAAAGAATTTCTCGAGGTTTGGATGTCAAAATTCGGGGGAAATAAGAAAATAAATAAATTTATAAATTAATGTAAGTTGTTAATTGTTAATCATTAATTATATTTATTTAATTAAAAACATTTATTTAGTGCGTCAGAATTTTTTTCTATGTCAGTTCATAATCATTAAGATATACCATTATGGTCATGAACTAATAAAAAATCAATATTATTTATGTAATTTTTGATTAAATTTATTAATTATAATTGTATATATTATTTGTACAGTTTCGGTTTTTCGTATTTTTGATAAGGGTAGTTTTTTTACAAAAGGGTGGCGACTAATAAATAAATAAAGTATTTTTGAAGAGCCCAAAAATAAAGAAGCTAAATGACATAAAAGAGAAGAAAAAATGTTGAATTGCAAGAAATTCGGTTTTTTGAATTTTTAAAAATTTTACATTTTTAACCAAAGGGTGGAGACTTTAAAATAAGTAAAGGGTTTTTAAGGAGGCCAAAAATTTTGAAGCTAAATGAAATAAAAGAGAAGAAAAAATGTTGAATTTTAAGAAATTCGGTTTTTTGAATTTTTGACAATTTTTAAAAATTAAAAATTTTTAAACAAGGGTGGAGACTATTAAATAAGTAAAGTATTTTTGAAGAGCCTAAAAATAGTGAAGCTAAATGCCATAAAAAAGAAGAAAAGATGTCGAATTTTAAGAAATTCAGTTTTTCAAATTTTTGATAATTTTTAATAATTTTAATTTTGAACCAAAGGGTGGAGATTATCAAAGAAGTAAAGTGTTTTTGAAGAGCACAAAAATATTGAAACTAAATGCCATAAAAAAGAAGAAAATATATTTAATTTCAAGAAATTGGGTTTTTTGAATTTTTGATAATTTTTAATAATTTCAAATTTTTTTCCAAAGGGTAGAGACTTTCAAATAAGTAAAGTGTTTTTGAGAAGCCCAAAAATATTAAAGCTAAATGCCATAAAAAAGTAGAAAAAATGTTGAATTTTAAGAAATTCGGTTTTTTCAATTTTTGACAAATTAAAAAAATTTTAAATTTTTAAACAAAGGGTAGAGACTATTAAATAAGTAAAGTATTTTTGAAGAGCACAAAAATAGTGAAGCTAAATGCCATAAAAAGAAGAAAATATATTGAATGTCAAGAAATTCGGTTTTTCGAATTTTTGATAATTTTTAATAATTTTAAATTTTGAACCAAAGGGTGGAGATTATCAAATAAGTAAAGTGTTTTTGAAGAGCCCAAAAATAATGGTGCAAAATGCCATAAAAGAGAAAAAAAAATGTTGAATTTTAAGAAAAACGGTTTTTCGAATTTTTGATAATTTTTAATAATTTTAAATTTTGAACCAAAGAAAGAAAGATTTAATTAAATTTTTCAAAGAAATCAATTGATATTTTAGACAATAATTAAATGTCTGTGAGGTATTTTATTAAATTTTCTTTAAAAAAAAATTGAATTCTTGTGATGAATATTTTTATTTATGAAAATAATTGAATTTTTCAAAGAATTTTATTAAAATTCCTGAAAATAATTGAATTTTTGGAAATAATTTTCTTATTTATTGACATAATTGAATTCTTTCAAAAATATTCGATAATAATTGAATTTCTGTAAAAAATTCTAATACTTTTAAGTAAATAATTGAATTTTTCTGAAGAATTTTGAAAAATCATTTTTTCAGATAATTGATTTTTTGGAGAATTTAAATTAAATTTTTTTAAATTACACTTTTTGATCAATTCCTGTAAAATTTTATTAAAAATAATTAAAATCCTGATAATGAATTTTTATATTTATGAAAGTAATTAAATAGTTGCTAAGAATTTTATTAAAATTTTCAAAAATAATTGAATTCCTAAAACGCATTTTATCATTTACGAAAATAATTGAATTCTTGCGAACAATTTTATTAAAATTTTTTTAAATAATTGAATTTACAAGAAGAAATTTATTACTTTTAAAAAGAATTGTATTCTTGTGATGAATATTGTTATTTATGAAAATAATTGAATTTTTCAAAGAATTTTATTCAAATTCCTCAAAATAATTGAATTTTTGATAAGAATTTTATTATTTATAAAAATAATTGAATTATTAAGAAAATTTTTTATTAAAATATTTAAAAAGAATTGAATTTCTGTAAAAATTTTTATTATATTTTTGAAAATAATTGAATTCTTGGAAAGAATTTTATTAAAATGTAAAAGAGAATAATTGAATTATTTCATAAAATTTTAAATTTTATTGAAGATAATTTATTTATTTGAAACAATTTTATTAAAATATTTGAATATATTTTAATTGTTGTGAAAAATTATAATATTTTTGAAAATAATTGAATTTTTGGATGAATTTTATCAATTCTTTTTAAAATAATTGAATTCTTTTGCGAAATTTTATGAAAAATTTTAGATATTGAAATTAATTACATTTTGAATTTTAAATTAATTTAAATTCCTGTGGAAATTTTATTATTTATGAAAATAATTTTATTGTGGATGAATTTTATGAATTATTTTTTAAATAATTGAATGCTTTTGCGAAATTTGATGAAAATACTGGATATTAAAAATAATTGAATTTCGAATATTTTTTGAAAATAATTGAATCGTTTTAAAGAATTTGATAATAATTTTTGAGAATAGTTTTTTTTATTTCTAGCCATTAGTGAATTTAAAGTAGTGTAAATTCTAAAAAAAACAGAAATAGTAGCTTTTAGTGGCTGAAATGTAAAAAAGTACCCAAATAGTAGAAAAAAGTTTGAAGGAAACATAAAACAATTTGTGTTTGGCAAAATTATAAAATTTCTCTTGGAGTTCATGTAATATTAAAGTACCTAAGTTAGTAACCTAATTCCCCCCTGATAGGTCTCGCTTGATTAGAATAAATTATAAACTCACTGATATTTATTGCTTTCAATTTTGGAATATCCAAATTCCGATCGAGGATCCTCCTTCCATCGCATAAGATCGGCATTAACTGAAGCGACGAGAAATTGAATGTCATAATTATAGCCAACGACGCCTGATCTCACAGCTTCAACTGACGCTGGACCACACTGATAAAGTCCCTCTGACGTCTCTTGTGGAGTTGCATCAATCGCCTGCCATCCACCGTAGCCCTTGGGCAAATCTGGTCGCGCCATCCACACATCATTCCAAACATGATAATTCCAAATTGAATCCATATTTCCCATTGGATTATTTGGATCGTAATCGAGTTCCTCATTCTCCATTGAATAATAACGATCCACTGATAGCGTCGCATTTGTATCGTGTGCTGACACTAAATTTGTCACAACACGCGATGGTATACCCAGTGCTCGACAAACTGTCGTCACAACACCCGCAAATACCCAACATTGACCGTATTTCACTTCTTTTTCCGTTGATAGGAATTCCTCAAGAATTGGTACACTTCCGGTCCAGGCGGAGGGCGCCGTACCGTCCTCATATTCTCCATCCCATCGGCCCTCGATTACTCCCTTGTCGTCATTTGAATTTATCTGAAAGTTTTTTTAAATTCGTTATGTAAACAGAAAGGTACTAATTTGGTACCAATTTTATTACTAAATAGCAATTTGATATCTATTTTGGTACAAAATCACAATTTGGTACCAATTTTGGTACAAAATCGCAGTTTGATACTAAATGTAAATTTGGTACCAATTTGTGTACTAAATTACAATTTGGTATCAATTTTATTACTAAAACGCAATTTGGTACCAATTTTGGTACTAAATCACAATTTGGTACTAAATCGTAATTTGGTACCAAATCGCAGTTTGGTACTAAATGTCAATTTGGTACCAATTTTGGTACTAAATCACAATTTGGTACTAATATTGGTACTAAATCGCAATTTGGTACCAGTTTTGTTACTAAAACGCAATTTGGTACCAATATTGGTACTAAATCGCGATTTGGTACCAGTTTTGTTACTAAAACGCAATTTGGTACCAATATTGGTACTAAATCGCAATTTGGTACCTATTTTGGTACTAAATCACAACTTGGTACCAATTTTGGTACCAAATCGCAGTTTGGTACTAAATGTCAATTTGGTACCAGTTTGTGTACTAAATTACAATTTGGTACCAGTTTTATTACTAAAGCGCAATTTGTTACCAATATTGGTACCAAATCGTAATTTGGTACCAGTTTTATTATTAAAACGCAATTTGGTACCAATCTTGGTACTAAATCACAATGTGGTACTTAATAGTAATTTGGTACCAATTTTGGTACTAAATCACAATTTGGTACCAATTGTGGTACCAAATAGCAGTTTGGTACTAAATGTCAATTTGGTACCAATTTGTGTACTAAATTACAATTTGGAATCAATTTTATTACTAAAACGCAATTTGGTACCAATTTTGGTACCTAATCACAATTTGGTACTAAATATTATTTGGTACCAATTTTATTACTAAATCGCAATTTGGTACCAATCTTGGTACTAAATCACAATTTGGTACCAATTCTGGTACAAAAATCAGCTCTAATTTAAAACCTTTTTTTACAGTGATATATCTTTGGTTGAAAATAATAGAATTTGCTTTTGCTTTTGCTTTGGAAATAATTACAATTCGAGAAATGGCTCGTGTCATTTTTATTGGATCCCCTCGGGAAATGGTCTTAATTCCTGATCTTTCGAGTAGTAATTGACAGGCTGGCAGAACAGCAGCATCGAACTGTCCAAAAATCCATTCGCGTCCACGAGCACTGCCATAGGGACCAACCCATATTTTACCCACATCATTCAAGACATATTCATGCAGTAATTGTTGATCTTCAAAGTAGACATTGTCCTCTGCAAATTTGGAAGTTTCCTTCAAGAAATGATCTCTTGTATTTAAAAAAAAGATTTTATTTTGAAACCTTTACAAAATTAAATTATTTAAAAAAATTTCAATTATATTTGTAACTTTCTGAAATTCAATTATTATTTAAAACTTTAACTGCAACTAATTTTTAAATCAAATTTTATTAGAAAATTCTACTGGAATTCAATTATTTAAATAAAAAAAACAATTTTTTGAATAATTGAATGTTTCTTAAAATTGAATTTTCATATAAAGAATTTTATCAACAAAATTTTTAAATAATTGAATTTTTTCGACGAATTTTAATAAAATTTTTAAAAATAATTACATTTTCCAAGGGATTTGATTAAAATTGTATTAAAAATAATTGAAATTCTGCAATGAGTTTTATTATTTATGGAAATAATTGAATTATATTATTACTATTAATTCTATTATAACTATTATTTATGAGAATAATTGAATTTTGCAATGAATTTTATTAAAATTTTTGAAAATAATTGAATAATAATAATAATAATAATAATAATAATAATAATAATAGTAATTTAAATTTAATAATAATAATTTAAAATTTTTGAAAATAATTGAAATTTTGCAATGAATTTTAGTAAAATTGTTGAAAATAATTGAATTTTATTACTTTTGAAAATAACTGAATTCTTTTGATAAATTCTATTATGTATAACTATTATCTATAAAAATAATTGAATTTTGCAATGAATTTTATAAAAATTTTTGAATATAATTGAATTTCTGCGAAGAATTGTATTAATTTTAAAAAGAATTGAATTCTTGTAATGAATATTATTATTTATGAAAATAATTGAATTTTGCAATGAATTTTATTAATATTCCTGAAAATAATTGAATTTTGAATTTTTTTTTAAATTTATATTATAAAGATAATTGAAAAATGTTGACGAGATTTTTTTTTAGATTTTTTGAAATAATTGAATTTCTGCGAAGAATTTTATTCATTTTGAAAATAATTGAATTCTTGTGATGGATATATTGTTATTTATAAAAATAATTGACTTCTTCCGAATGATTTTATTATTTATGAAAATAATTAAATTTCTGAAAAGAATTTTAAAATTTATAAAAATCATTGAATGTTCGTGTAAAATTTTATCAAAACTTCTGTTTAATAATTAAATTCTTTTGGGAAATTTTCTTAAAATAGTAGAATATTAAAAATTATTGAATTCAGAAAAATTTTTTTTAAATAATTGAAATTTTGCCATGAATTTAATAAAAAATTTTTAAAATAATTTAATTTTATTACTTTTGAAAATAATTGAATTCTTTTGATGTATTTTATTATTGCTATTAATTCTATTATAACTATTATTTATGAAAATAATTGAATTTTGCAATGAATATTATTAAAATTCATGAAAATAATTAAATTTCTGTGAAGAATTTTATTAATTTTAAAAATAATTGAAATGTTGACAACAATGTTTTTTTAGGTTTTTTAAAAATAATTGAATTTCTGAAAAGAATTTTATTAATTTTAAAAATAATTGAATTCTTGTGATGAATATTATCATTTATAAAAATAATTGAATTTTTGCAATGAATATTATTAAAATTCCTGAAAATAATTGAATTTCTGCGAAGAATTTTATTCATTTTAAAAATAATTGAATTCTTGTGATGAATATTATCATTTATAAAAATAATTGAATTTTGCAATAAATATTATTAAAATTCCTGAAAATAATTGAATTTCTGCGAAGAATTTTATTCATTTTAAAAATAATTGAATTCTTGTGATGATAATTATTATTTATGAAAATAATTGAATTTTGCAATGAATTTTATTAAAATTCCTCGAAATAATTGAATTTCGACGAAGAATTTTGTTATTTATAAAGATAATTGAAATGTTGACGAGATTGTTTTTTCAATTTTTTGAAAATAATTGAATTTCTGGAAAGAATTTTAACATTTATTAAGATAATTAAATTTTTCCAAAGAATTGCGTTAAATTTTTTAAAATTGGAATTAATTTCAACAGAATTGAAATAAATATTATTCAAGAAAATACTTCATTAAATGATTTATAAGTAATAACTTTTTGGCAGTTCTTCAATAGAATTAACAAAAATTAAGAATTTTCTTCTAAATTCTAAACATTTAATTTTTTTCCAGTACTTTTAATAAAAATTCCTGACTTTTCCCTGATTTCCCTGGACCAATTCTACTTTTCCTGACTTTTCCTTGAATTCCCTGATCTGTGGCAACCCTGTTATATCATCCAGAGAAAAATTAAAAGGTCATAGCAGAATAGAAACGTAACCGGAATCGTAACCGCAATCCGTTTAGGATTGCGGTTACGATTCCGGTTACGTTTCTATTCTACTTTGTCCAACTTCTCAAAAATACCAAAATCATAGATAAAATAAGAATTCAGAAATTCGCCTCGTTAATTCAACTATAGAAAAATTTGGGACTTCATTAAAATTGATTGAACAATAAAAACAATATTCCAATTAGGGTGTGACAAACCTTTGATCCAAGGATTAAAAAGCAAATAAATATCCGCATCGTGAGGATGGGTATTAACTGGCTTTCCCCTGCCAACAATTGTCGTCTCAACATTAAGCTGCCAAATGCCAACGGGACTGTCAACAGGACTTCGGACCTCGACAGAAATATCAGTTCCATTAGCGCCCAACATTCTTACGCCCCAAGCTTCAATATTCTTGAGATGATTATCACTATTCACTGTTCCAATGCCCCTTGTTCCTCGCATCACACTTGGATTTGGTCCGAAGCTAAATAAAAGTCTCACAATATCCGTCTCATCGATGTAATCGCGATTGAATCGCAATGCAATATTGAAGGTTTGCCCACGACGAAGAACTGCACTCGGTGGATCAAAATGCACCAATTCAAAATTATCCGTATGATGAGTGCGTGCATTTTCCGCCTCGTACATGTAAATCGTTTCCACCACTAAAGGCTCGTCCATCTGGGAAATTTATTTTCATAATTAATTCTCGATTATTTTAATTAAGTCTCGAATTTGATTTATATTATATTAATTATTAATTAATTAACTAATTAATTATTATTATTATTATTATTATTATTATTATTATTATTATTATTATTATTATTATATTAATTATTTATATTTATATTCGAGACTGACAATAAGATGTTAGATTTGAAAAAATCAAAATGGCGGATCTAAAATGGCAACCGAGGATTTTAAAGGAATTATTAAAAGTTGCTTAATATTTATTGTTAATTTAATTATGTATTTAACATTTTTTTAAATTATCCTCAAAATTTCAATTACCTTTATAAATAATAAAATTATCCTCAAAATTTCAATTATTTTTATAAATAATAAAATTATCCTCAAAATTTCAATTATCTTTATAAATAATAAAATTGTTCTCCAGAATTCAATTATTTTCATAAATTTCCATAAAATTCTAAAAAACAATTCAATTATTTTCATAAATATGTAATAAAATTCTTTGGAAGGATTCAATTACTTTTATAAATATAGTAAAATTTTGTGCAGAAATTTAATTTTTTTTTAAAAATTCAAATAAAATCGTTCGCAAGAATTCAATGATTGTCAAAAATTTATTGTAATTTTAATTAATTTTAATCTTTGTAAATTTGAATTATTTTTAAAGACTTTTCGTAATTCAAAGATTTTCAATTATCTATTATTTTCCTAAAATTTTTCAAAATAATTCAGTTATTTTCATAAATAATAAAATTTTATACAGAAATTTAATTATATTTTCATAAATAATAATAAAACTCATCACAGAATTATAATTGTTTTTAATACAATTTTAATAGAATTCCTCGAAAAATGTAATTATTCTTAAAGATTTTTTATTAAAATTCGTCGAAAGAATTAAATTATTTAAAAATTTGCTGATAAAATTCTTTTTGAGAATTCAATTTTTAGAAACATTCAATTACTTAATAAATTATTTATTTTTGTACTTTAAATAATTGAATTCTCATAGAATTTTCAAAAAAAAAAAAAAATGATTTAAAAATGAATTTTAGTTAAAATTTTTGAAAATAATTGAATTTTAAAAAGGTTTTAAATTGAATTCATTGAAAAATTGAATTTTAAAAAGGTTTCAAATTGAATTCATTGAAAAATTGAATTTTTTATACTTTTAACTGATAATTCAGTAGAATTAATTTTTTTGAAAAAGTTTAATTGGATTTTTTTTTAAATTATATTTAAAGTTTTTATTTTCTAATACATATTTAATTCAAGAATTTACTTAAAATTAAAATTATATTAAAAATAATTTTATTATTTAGGAAAATAAATAAATAAAAATACCGTAAGTGAGGCTAAATTCGCTCATGTAGGGTAAATTCGCTCAACCGATGTCTATTTTTTAAAATTCGATTAACATACTTTTTAGACAGAAATATTTAAGATTTACAATTGTTTTGGTTAATATAAATGGTAAACTTTAATTTAAAATTTATTTGCAGCAAATTCATTGGTACCGTAAGTGAGGCTAAATTCGCTCAATTTTTCAATTCTTTTTTAAATAACTTCGGGAAACGATGAAAATAAACATTGGCACTGAAAATATATAATCTTTAACCCTTTATCTTTCCTATTACTGCATAAAGAAATTGAAATATGTTGCAGAAAATTATTTATAAGCCGTTTTTTTGTGAGCGAATTTACCTTTAAATGATGGGTAAATTCGCTCACCATTATTATTCTGGCAAAATATATTATAATCTGCAAAAATGAAACTAAATATTCTTTAGAATCAATAAAGAAAAAAATTAAGAACAATATTCAAAGTTATTGGAATAAATATTTAATATTGTTTTATCAATAAGTAATTAGATTCAATCATTCAATCAAACGTACTCATAACCATAAAAAAACAAGGTTAAGTTTGACAGTTTAGTGCTTAAACCGTTTTAAATCGTTTAATTTTCAGTTATAAGAGTACTATTATTTCAAAAAATCGAATTATAAATTAAAGTAATTAACATACTTAAAATATCCAGGCCCAAACATCTTTTTTGTAGACTTATTTCCTGAGCGAATTTACACAACAAATTTGAATTTTTTTTTTTTAATTGATTTTTTGCAGAATCTGTTTATTGCTTTAATTTTTGTGCTTTATGAATATCATGTTGGAGATACAGGAAATGTAATGTTCAGAAGTATTCAACTTAAAAATTTTGAAGTAAAGCTTTATTTCCTACTTTTTCATACTACTTGTTCAATATGAAAATTATTCACTTGTGTTTTAAATATAATTTCTACTGAAAGTTACCAATGAATTTGCTGCAAATAAATTTTAAATTAAAGTTTACCATTTATATTAACCAAAACAATTGTAAATCTTAAATATTTCTGTCTAAAAAGTATGTTAATCGAATTTTAAAAAATAGACATCGGTTGAGCGAATTTACCCTACATGAGCGAATTTAGCCTCACTTACGGTAACTTTCAGTAGAAATTATATTTAAAACACAAGTGAATAATTTTCATATTGAACAAGTAGTATGAAAAAGTAGGAAATAAAGCTTTACTTCAAAATTTTTAAGTTGAATACTTCTGAACATTACATTTCCTGTATCTCCAACATGATATTCATAAAGCACAAAAATTAAAGCAATAAACAGATTCTGCAAAAAATCAATTAAAAAAAAAAAATTCAAATTTGTTGTGTAAATTCGCTCAGGAAATAAGTCTACAAAAAAGATGTTTGGGCCTGGATATTTTAAGTATGTTAATTACTTTAATTTATAATTCGATTTTTTGAAATAATAGTACTCTTATAACTGAAAATTAAACGATTTAAAACGGTTTAAGCACTAAACTGTCAAACTTAACCTTGTTTTTTTATGGTTATGAGTACGTTTGATTGAATGATTGAATCTAATTACTTATTGATAAAACAATATTAAATATTTATTCCAATAACTTTGAATATTGTTCTTAATTTTTTTCTTTATTGATTCTAAAGAATATTTAGTTTCATTTTTGCAGATTATAATATATTTTGCCAGAATAATAATGGTGAGCGAATTTACCCATCATTTAAAGGTAAATTCGCTCACAAAAAAACGGCTTATAAATAATTTTCTGCAACATATTTCAATTTCTTTATGCAGTAATAGGAAAGATAAAGGGTTAAAGATTATATATTTTCAGTGCCAATGTTTATTTTCATCGTTTCCCGAAGTTATTTAAAAAAGAATTGAAAAATTGAGCGAATTTAGCCTCACTTACGGTAATTCATCGTAATATATTAAATTATTTTCATAAATAGTAAAACTCATTGCAGAATTTCAATTATTTTTAATACAATTTGAATCAGATTCCTCGAAAAATGTAATTATTTCTAAAAAATTTTATGAAAATTCGTCGAAAGAATTAAATTATTTTTAGATACTGAAAAAAAAATCTTCTCAAGAATTCAATTATTTCCATAAGTAGCAAAATTTTTCAGATTTACTAAATTCTTTTGTATATTATTTTAAAAAAATATTTTTCAGAAGAATTCAATTATTTTTATATAAATTTCCATAAAATTCTAAAAAAACAATTCAATTATTTTTAAAAGTAATAAAATTCTTTGCAGAAATTCAATTATGTTTTTAAAATTTTTCTAAATTCTCCTCAAAATTTCAATTATCTTAATAAATAATTAAATTGTTCTCCACAATTCAATTATTTTCAAAATCTTTAATAAAATTCTACGCAAACATTTAATTATTTTCATAAATATTGTAATAACATTTTTTGGAAGGATTCAATTACTTTTATAAATAGTAAAATTCTTTGCAGAAATTCAATTAGTGTCAATACATTTTAATAAAATTGAATTAATCAAATTTTCCATTATAATTATGAACAGACAAGATGATTTTTACAAAATTAAAAAAAATTCTTTGTTTAATTCAATTATTTTCTAAATTTTTAATTAAAATTATTAAAAAAAAAAAATTATTTTCAAAGAAATTTAAATAAACTTGTCAAAAGAATTTAATTATTCATAAAAACTGTAATAAAAAATTTTGAATCCATTTGTAGATTCTTTTTTGTTCGAAATTATAAAAATTTAAATTTGATGAGAAAAAAAAACCAGAAAAAAATTAGGACAAAGCCGTAAAAAAACCGGAAATTTTGTTGAACGAAAATAGTAGACACCCTGCTTATAAATTTTGGCCGCCATTTTGGATTCGCCATATTGGATTTTTTAAATCTGACATTAAATTTAGATTCAGTGAGATGACCCCTAGAAATCCTGGTAAATTTTTTTTTTAGTTCTGGCAGCCATATTGGATACGCCATTTTAATTTTTAAGAATCTGACATTACATTCAAAATTCATGGAAAATTCTTTGTTTTTTAATTCTTTTTGACCTAAAAAACGGTTTTTTCGCCTGACTACGAAGAAATTAACTGTACAAATGGAATGATTTTCATTTACAAAATTTTCTCAATTGTCATGAAAAATCAGCTTCTTAAGAGGTAGATCAATCTGGAAAATTTATATCTGTCAGTTGGGAATTGAGTTTTAAATTATTCAATCTGGAAACACGGAAGTTCTCGGCTCATAAATCTTCTATGGACGTCAGAGAAGAGAATTGCGAATTAGAAAAATATTTTCTTATATGTTTTTTTTCCAGTTTATTTCGATGTCTTCTATTAAATGAATTAAATTTATAGCTCATAAAAAGTAAATAAAAAAATAGTAACAAAAAAGTATTATTAGAATAAAAAATAAGTACATACATCAAAATAGAAATACATGACAATTATATTTATTATAACCAAATTTTCAAAGAACTCTCGAAATGAATGTTTTCTTCAATTATTATTTATCATTTGATAAAAATAATAATATGTTGATAAAATTATTTATTTAAAATTATTTATCATTTAGAAAATTATTATTAAAAAATTATTTATTATACTTTAAATTTTTTTGTTTTATATTTAAATGTAAAATATTTTATTTGAAAGAAATTTTAAGTTAAGTTTCATTTTTGGCGAAAATCCCCATAAAATAAGAAGAGAAAATATAATTATTCAACATCCGCCTTCGATTCGTCAAAGTCATTATTAAATTGCGTAAATAATAATCCCGCGCGAAAATAAAAAATTCCCACACGTGACGTGAGTGCGTAAGAAAGTGAATGCCGAATCAAGTTCATACCCAAGAATTGAATATTGTGTGCGTGTGCAATAATTGCAAATGAAAGTGATTCATCGATTTAGTGGATTTTTTCTGCGAAAGCTTCTCATTATAAATTTATAAATGTAACAATTACTTGGAATATAATTACATCAGGATAAAAATAGCCACTAAGGTGGAGTCGATGAACAATAAATAAAAATAAAAAAAAATAGTGTCTTTTGATTTCTATCCAATATCGTCCAATCGAATACTTATTACAAAATATTTAATTTTAAAATAAATTATAAAAACTATTTCCTTCTTATGAAATAAATTTTTTATTTGTACAAATTTTTTATTTTTAATTCAAATTTCTTCTATATCGGAAAATCGAATTGGTATTTTACACACATATTAAAATACGTTTTACGATAATGCTTAGGATAATGAGTAAAAACCGGTTATTATAAATTTGAATAAATACAAATTTTACTTTGAAAATATAAGAAATCGATTAAATAGAAATAGTGTGACAATGTATTGTTTGCAATTAAGCATTCCTTTCGGTCTTTAAAAAAAAACACTTTCAATGCAGTCTATAGTAAATTTTCCAATGTCCTTAATAGCTTCAACAAATTACTTTGCAAATTAAGTTGATATTAATCTGACTCAAATTAACCTCTTAAGTTTAATTTTATTCTGTTTTTCAAAAGCAAAAAAAAAAAATTAAATAAAAAACATCAAATCCCCAATGAGAAAAAATATTTAAATAAATATTCATAAATATTTATGAATTTTGTCATAATGATTTTTTTCAATTTTAACGACACACTTTATCTTGGAAATCTCAGGATTTTTTTTAAATATATTTTTCATCATCTCTAAATACTTAAAAAAAATCTATTTTTAATTTTTATACTAGTTTTTAATTCATAAAATATACAAAAAATATAAAAAAAAAACATAAAATTTCGTTTCTTATAAAAATCTTATGATTTTTATAAAATGTAAATGTATAAATAAATAAATATGATTAATAAAATCTAAAGTGTGAAATAAAAATTGTAGTTTATTTTTATAATAAAGTTTTAATAAATATTTTTTGTAAAATCAAGTCAATAAATATTTTTAAAAAAAGCTAATAAATATTTTTTTAAATAAAGTCAATAAATATTTTTAAAGTTAATACATAAGATTGTAGTTAATAAATAAAGTAATAAAATAAATTAATAAAAGAAATTAAATTAAACCAAAGTAAATAAATATTTTTAAAATAAAGTTAATAAAAATTTTTTAAACTAAAGTGAACAAAAATTTTTAAAGTTAATACATAAGATAGTAGTTAATAAATAAATTAATAAAGTTAATTAATAAAATAAATTAAGAAAATAAATTAATAAAATAAATTAATAAAATAAATTAATAAAATTAATTAATAAAATAAATTAATAAAATTAATTAATAAAATAAATTAATAAAATAAATTAATAATGTTATTAAATAAAGATAAAGTTAATAAATATTCCTAAAATAAAAACAACTAATATTGTTAAAAAAAAATTTACAGAGAAGGAATAAAACAAAATTTAACTTTCAATGACATAAAGTTTTTTTTTTGTGATAAAATTGAGATTAACAAAAATTCCGAAAATGACATTTTATTGCCTTTGACATCAACTGACCTTTGATTGCTTTTGATCCAAAATTATAAATTATCACAAGTGGGAGAAAATAAATTAAAAAAAAAAAAAAAATTGAAGAGTCAGAAACGTAAAACTCGCTTAAATATAGAGAAAGACGTTTCGTTTACAACTGTGACGTTCCACATTATTTTCAGCTCTTTTATAAGAGCTGCAACTTATGAGAGACTGCCAAACCCCCACTACTACAATTAATAATATATAAAAGTTTTCAGTATTTTCATACTAAGATTCAATGGATGCTGTGTTTGAGAAGTCACAGGATAATTAAATTAAATCAATATACGATATCCTTTTTTTAAAAATATTTTCTTTATTTAAAAAAATGTTTTTTAATTTTTTTAAAATTAAAAATTGTTTTTTTTAATTTTATTCGAAAAAAATTTTCAAACTATTTATGAATAAATAAAAAATGATCATTATTACAACTTTTTTATAAGCAAGAATATAAATGACACTTTTTTTGTAAATAAAAAAAATGCGAGAAAGGATTTGAAAATAATTAATTATTAATAATTTATAAAAATAAAATTACAAATCTATTTGATTTAAAATCACTTTTATAAGAATATAAAATTTTCTCGTCTCTTTTATATTTACAATTAATTTTTTATTTATTATTTATTTTCATTTTTATTATTTTTTATTTAAACCTAGATTTAGTCGATGTTATATTTTTGGTAAAAAAAATTTCTTTGATTCAAATAACCGAAAATGACTATTATCAATTAAATATTTAATTGAATCAAATAATTTTTTTTTTAGTGTAAGAACGTTCTTTTAAGGTCTCATAATAATAATTATAAATAATTTAATATTATTTAATATTATTTAATATTATTTATTATTATTATTTTATTTATATTATTATTATTAATAATAATTATTATTATAATTATTATTTTATTTATTATTTTTTTTTATTATTATTATTTTTTATTTATTTTTTTATTTTTTATTTATTTATTTATTTTTTTTTTATTATTTTTTTATTTTATATTATTTATTTTTATTTTAATATTAAAATAATTTTAGAATTGTTGCAGACGAAGAGAGGTTTATGTAGGAGTATATAGTTGAAATGAACAATTTCCTTTTCATCATTTTCAAAGACTTTGATTTTACACTATGATTATTTTCTATACACTGACAAAGACAAAAAGTATATAAGAGAGATTTCCAAGACATGATTCGACTGTTAAAAATAATTGAAGCAATTTAAACAAAATGAAACGTCTATTTTTACAATTAGTGCAATTTATTAATGTCAATACATTGCTAAAGTGTTAATATCTATTCCTTTTTTTTTTACGTAATAAATGAGGAATTACATCATTTTTTTAAGAATTAATTTTCAATTAATCAATATATATATGCATTGCAATCATGTCAGATATTATCAATTCATGTTTATTTAAATTGTAAAAAGATTTATTTTTTCTACTATGTTTTCTGTGGTTTAATTTTAATTGATAGTTTTTTTAATAAAAGCGTAGGATAAATATTAAAAAGAGAGCATACTTTTAGAAACAACTACTGTTTGTGGTAAATTTTTTAATGAATTATAATTTTTAAGTACTATTACTTGAAAAACATTTTTCAATTATACAAAGTAAATATTTTAAATAAGAAAGTTTTCTTTCAACATTTTTTTTTACTTCTAAGTTTTAGAACATTACACGAAAGTAGAAATATTGCGCCTAAAATAGAGTACAATAGTCCTTGACTATTTATAATATAAAGATTTTATAAATTAACTTCTGTTTGGCATTTTATGATTATCATCTTGCCTCCAACTTTTTTATTCTTTGTTCTTTTTAAATTCTCATTAATCCAAAAGTGACGAACCTTGACAAATTTCTAGTTATTAAAAGGAAATATTATTTTCAATAACAAAAAAGAAAAAGAATTATACGTAGGTTCAAGTCAGTTCTTTGTTATCGAAAAGGTATCAGAAAATAAAATATTAAAATTAATTTTACCATTTTAGAAATATTAGATTCTACACGCAACGATATAATTGCTTTTTAATTATTTTCTATTGTTCTTTTATTTTTTATATAGAATAATTTATGTAATAATTGTAGCATACATTTTAATAAAAAATTTATTATTATTTATTATTAGATATTATTTTTTTTTAATGAAGTTTAAAATTTCCATGACAGATGCCTTTTGCCGTCTTCTTTTAATTTCTTTATTTTCATTCAATTTTGATAATGAACCTGATTTGGGTTAAGATAGTCAATGGGGAAATTAACTTGTACGAGAATAATTATTTATTGATTTGAATATAAACAGAAACGCTAATTTTTATATTATTTGATTTTAAAATGTATGTTTCAAAATAAATTAAAATGTATGTTTCAAAATAAATTAAAATGTATATTTCAAAATAAATAAAAAATATATAATTCAAAATAAATTAAAAACAATTAAAAATATAAATAAAACAATAGAATAATAATAACAGATTTTTTAATCCGAAGTCAGAATTTAAAAATTCAAAATGGCTGATCCAACAACTGCCAACTTGACGTTTGTCTGCTAATCAACTACCAACAGTGATCCAATCAATTTTCATACCTGACAATTGTCTGTCAACCATCTGCCAACTATCATCTTTTTTTTTTTTGCTTATTAGGGAATTTTGAGAAATCTGGCTACAGATACTTTGGATTCCGTACTCCAAGGTTATGTGGGGTTGGTATAATAAAAAAAGGAAAATATGAAACAAAATAAATATAATGAAAATTGTTTAATAAGCTGGCGACCTACTACCAGCCTCGACCCACTAAAACCCGTAACCCTTCTTTTGAAGCCCTTTACCCACCCTTGGAACTGTGGAACCCTGCTTTCGAGGGCTGCCAACTATTATCTTACTTTGACTATACTGACGATTGCCAAACGTCTACCAATTAATCTCCAACCTTTGTCGCTTTCTTGGTGATCAACTGCCTTTTGATTGTCGAACTTCTACTAACCGATTGCGCCCACCAACTAACGACCGGTTTTCAAGAATCTGGTTAATTTTCGTTAGACCGTGTAAAACAGTTCCAGTAAATTAGATTTTTAAGTATAAAACCACTCGTTTCTTTATTTAACATTCTTCATTCTTGAAACTAAGGAATAATTCTGCTTTCAGTGGAGTTATATCCTATTCTCTAGATAGACTGCTCACCTGCCAATTTCGTCGAGAGTTGTACTATGTGAAAAATAATTAAAGGATAAATTATCTCCTAATCTTAAAACATTAGTTTCCTTAGCTTCAAGGAAAACTAAGCTTCCCTTAGTTTACTTAGTTCAATGTCCTTCGCTTTGTAAATAAATCAGGCAAACATTTAACATACTAGTACTGATCTCCTTTTGAGACGTAAAAAAAATCTATCTATCTTGACTATTGAGTAGATAGTGTAGTCAAGTGTAGACTTGTCTTTTGTATTTATCAAAAAGTGGATTGGCGGTTGTAGAAGTAGTATACGCGAATCTACAAAAGAATTGAATAGAGTGATTAAAGTTGGCTGGTTATTAACGATTTTGTGGATCTGAAGAGAAAGTCGAGAGCTTTTGAGGCTGATGCAACAGTTTTAGTGATGTGTTCTTTAAAATATAGCTGGATTGATGGTGATTTTAGACAACGTTTACAAGTAAAAAGTTTATGCTACAAGAAGTAAAATCATTAAATTGTCAATTTAAATTTTAAACTTAGGGCCAGTTCCACCAACTCCGATTAAAAGTTAATCAATGATTAAATCCTTAGCCGACCAATCATGGGCGGTTAAATTGACTTTAATCGTTGATTAACTTTTAATCGGAGTTTGTGAAACTGGCCCTTAATCAACTTTGGAAACATTCACACTTTTCATTACATTCATTGATTAAAGATATGCGAACTTTATCAGAAGAAACAGAGTGTTTGTAATAATTCTGTTGTCTGTGGGACATATCGACATTTCCTGCCGACAATATAGTTACATTTGTCCTAAAGACTCTAAAGTACCGTATTTTCGACTATTACATAGTTAATTCTCCAAACATATTGTTAACAATATCTGCCGTTTGTACACTGTTGTGGTTTCAGTATGTTATTGTCACCATCCCTTATAGTACCGTTTCCAACAGACAATACACTAATTTGCAAATTCCGTTTCTCTAGATATAATTCATATGTCTTCTGTTAATGTAAAGGTTTTGAAGTCCCTCTGCAAATTGTAACGTCCACTGTCCATTTCTGGCTTTAATGGAATTAATAATCTCATCTCAGGTGCAGTTTCTGTATTAGGTATTTTGGGTTATTCTTTCGATTTCTTTTGTATATCATGTGATATGTTTGTGCAAATATATTGCAATTTCGAAGAGCAGTGTTAAATGCATCAATAATTTCTCTATTTCAATTGCGGCAAAAATTACAACGAATTTTTGTTGGTTCGTTTGGATCAACAGTAAATAAGTGTTCAAATGAAGAGCAATTGTATTAAAAGTGATTTATCGTAATTCATTATCGATTTATCGTAATTCACTGCTATGTCTTAAATTCACTTTTCTTAATACAATTTCTCATTTATTTCTTTCATTATTTTCACTTATAAAATTTTAGTAATACACAATAGAACATTTTTTGTTGTATCCATTACCAAACTATTCCGGAAGTATTCAAGATAACGTTCAATGGTATTTTTGAGAGAATTGCAAGATTATATAACATTCAATGATATTTTAAATTCTGAAATTAAATGTGTAATTCAAGCATGTTTAGATGGAATTGCTAAAGAGTGGTGGAATTTAGTTAAAAAAGATGATCACTTTGGTCATTTTAAAGATAAATTTATTAATCGATTTTGGAATGAAGATATCAGATTTAAAATTAGTACACATTTTTCAAACTCTGTCAATTGTCAAAACAATTCAAGGAGTAGTTCGGACAATTATAATCGTTAACAAAATGCGCAGAATCAATTCACTCAAAATTATTATCGACAGAATCAAAATCGATGGAAAGAAAATTCAAATTACAATAAAAATCAGAATCGTTATCAAGGTAACAATTCATATCAAAATAGACATGAGAAAAAAAATAAAAATTTTCAAAATCAACCTTCTAAAATTTTTTCGTGCTTTTAAATATTTAAACTCTTTCATATAAGTCACGAATCAACGTCAAGGATCAAGAGAATTTTGTTACAACAAAATACATTATTGTCGGGAATTATGGTAAGAATTTTGTTTGATTTACGAATATCTAAACGACTGTTGCTCATTTGATTCAAAATCTAATATTGTTAATTTGAATTTATAATATTTTCCCTTTTTTGTCTTATTATATGTTGCTATCACGAAGGGATATTTAGTCACGAAGTCGATCGTAATAAATGCTCCCCTTCTAATAGGCTGACGTCCCTTGTCAGCTGTGGAAAAGTGTCGAAGATCCTTCTTCAGGATTTATAGATTCTTTTGAGTTTTACAAAAATCGAGTCCTTGTTATATTGTTTTACAAAAGTTTATTCTGGAGCGTAATTAAATACTTGAAAGACCGGAACAATTCCATAAAAACTAAAGATAATAATCGTCAATTTTAGTGACGAATCCTGGAAAGTATTGTATTTTCCAAAAAAGAATTATTTACCGATGAAAAAACTTGATTTAAAGAGAGATACTTTATGTGTTAAAATGGATGAATGGTTGCTAAGTGATTCAAAAGCACCACTCAATAACAAAAGAATGCATTCGTAATGGGATAAAGTACTCGAAATACAGTGACAAAAAAAACCGTTTGTATCTCTAGAATAGGACGAATTTGTGTTCGTCCTTTATTCGTATATGGGCAAAAATGATGATTGCGCATCTGCTATCAAAATTCGATCCTGTTCGCGAAGGAATTTAGCTTCCAAATAGCCGAAATAAGTCGAGGACAACCGAGAAAATCCGAATGGTGAATCAAGTAAAGCGGGTGGTGTGGGGTGTGCAGTTTTCAGTTGCACGCAGGTCGTTGAATGGAGCGCGTGTGGAGAAGAGTACAGGGTGCTGGGCGTCGTGCTGGTGGTAGCGGCGCTGTGGGACGTTGTGGATGTCCCACGCAGCCGTGTCAGTTGCACGTGGACCAAAGAGCCAAACGTGGCGGTGGTGGTGGCGGAGGAGGTGGTAGTGCTGCTGCACGCAAATCAAGGGGACCACAGACTATTGTTTGTGGATGTCAAGTGCAGCCATGTCCCGTGCACCCAGTTTTGATAAGGGTTCGAAGAACTCAGCGACCTCCCTCTAGCTGCGACTGTCCACCGGATTCCCAACCCTGTCCCCACGCTTCCCGGGTTACTGTTTCGCGCCGGGTCAGAAGGTAAACAAACCCTTTCCTCAAAGCAACCTTCTCACTCTTCTCACCCTTTATTTTACTCCTTCGTTTGCGACCCCAATTCCCTTGAATCATTATTAGCGAATTAAAGGCTTCCCTACCGTGTATGATGAAATGCGATAAGGAGAGAGATTTCAAAAGAAAATATTTTTTTTTTTAGTTTGTCGTCAAGAAACAATGTTTACAGATTGAAAAACTTTAACATCATCATCATAAATATAAATTATCTATAACTAAAAATATTTTTTTAGTTTGTCGTAAAGAAACAATGTTTACAGATTGAAAAACTTTAACATCATCATCATAAATATAAATTAACTATAACTACTAATAAAAATTAGTACTTTAATAAATTAGTAATAAACTAGTACCGTATCTAGCCCAGTGTGCACGTTCTAGAATTGTTCTAGAACAGTTAATGGAAAAAAGAATAGTTCTAGAACGGTTCCAGAATTGTTCCAGTACGTGCACACTGGGAGGCCTTCTCATTACTCTAAAAATTAATTAATACGGTCAAAAAACAAAAATCACAAGATAAATTAAAGCTAATATAAGAAATAAATATGTTCATTTATAAAAAAGAATAAAAATGGTCCAGGGTGATCCTTATAACAAAAAATGCATCTTGTTTTCACAACACAACAGCTTTAAAAATAGTTTTTTTTTAGTTAGATTCATTATTGAGTTTCTGTCACTTATTTGCTAGACAGGTATTAAATTTGATTCTTATACAAATGATTATGACAAACTTTGATCTCATTTAAAAATTCCCAAGATGTCCCATTGACCTCATGAGATATCTTCAGGTCATCCTAGATCCATTCTAAATTCCGTACATGATTTGGACACACAGAGAGGAAAGAGAGTGAAAAAATGTTCAAAAAATTCCACAGATCGTAATTTTTAACCGATTTCAAATTTTTTTTCTTCAATTGGAAGCTTAATAACTTCTGAAAAACTTTGTCTAGTCTGATTTTGAAAAAAATAATTTGTTAGTTTCCTTTTCTTAGTTAAAAGTTAATAAAAAACTTTCAAACTTATTAAGGTAATGACATTCTATTCATAAAATCCTCGAGTAATGATATTGGTGAGGTTAAATCTGTTTTATCAATTTTGTTCCGCCATCTTAGATCCGCCATTTTCGATTTTAAAAAACTCACATTAGATTCGTAATCAGCGGCCACGAAAACCCTTGAGTAATGATTTCGGTGAGATTAAATCGGTTTTATCACTTTTGATCCGCCATCTTGGATCCGCCATTTTGGATTTTGAAAAACAGATATTAAATTCGTATTCAAACATTTAATTATTTTCATAAAATAATAAAAATTTCACAGGAATTCAATTATTTACCATTTTTTAAATAAATTTCTTCGCAATAATTCAATTATTTTCGTAAATAATAAAACTCATTGCAGAATTTTAATTATTTTTAATACAATTTTAATCTAATTTCTCAAAAAATGTAATTATTCTTAAAAATTGTATTAAAATTCTTCCAACGAATTTAATTATTTAAAAATTTGTTGATAAAGTTCTTTATGAGAATTGAATTTTAAGAAATATTCAATTATCCAAAAAAGAAAATTTTTATTTAAATAATTGAATTCTGTATAAATTTGTTGATAAAAATTGATTTAAAAACGAATTTTAGTTAATACTCTAGATAATAATTGAATCTTAAAAGTATTGAAATTTTAAAGTTTCAATTTTGAATGAATTCAATTAGAAATTTCAAAGAACTTTTCGAAAAGTTACAAATAACTGCAGAAATTCAATTACGTTCAAAAATTAACAAAAAATTTTCGTCAAAATTGAAATTATCTTTAAAAATATATTAACATTTTTTTCTGAAATTCAATTATTTTAAAAAAATTTTATTCAATTCTTGGCAAAATTTCAATTATTTTTAAACATTTTCCAAAAAGAATTCAACTATTTAAACAAAATTTGATAAAATTCTACTCAAATAGTTAATTATTTTCATAAAATAATAAAAATTTCACAGGAATTCAATTATTTACAAATTCTTTTTTATAAACTTCTTCGCAATCATTCAATTATTTTCATAAATAATAAAATTTTTACAAAGATTAAATTATTTTCGTAAATACTAAAATTCTTTTTAGGAACTCAATTATTTTCATAAATAACAAAACTTATCGCAGAATTTCAATTATTTTTAATAGAATTTTAATTAAATTTCTCGAAAAATGTAATTATTCTAAAAATTTTTATTAAAATACGTCAAAGGAATTCAAATTATTTGAAAATTTGTTGATAAAATTCTTTATGAGAATTGAATTTTAAGAAACATTCACTTATTTAATAAATTATTTATTTGAAATGAATTTTTTTGAAAAAATTTAATTGCGGATTTTTTTTATAATTATTTAAAGATTTTATTTTCTAATCTATATTTAATTGAAGAATTTTACGAATAATTGAAATTTCGTAAAATTGAATACCGTAAACAAATGGATTTAAAAAAGGTCAAAGAACTTTTTCGAAAATTATTTAAAATAATTGATGAACGAAGAATTTTTTAAATATTTTAAGTATATTTTCATTTATATATTTATAATATATACATATATTAAGTATTTTTAAAAATTTTCACTGTTTTGAGCCCTAAGTAATGATTTTTATAAGATTATATCTGTTTTATCACTTTTGGTCCGTCATCTTGGATCCGCCATTTTGGATTTTTAATAACTGACATCTGATTCGTAATCAGCGACGCCGAAATCCTCCAATTGATCATTTGGTTGTGATTAAATCTTCTTTTTGAATTTGTTTATAAATTTTTTTATTACTTTGTTTATAACAATTTGATAGTTGAAGATTGTTATTCATTGCAAGTAATTTTTTTTTAGAAAATATTAACAAATTAAGCAAATTTACCTCAATAAGTATAAAAATTTAGTGTTTTTTAACTTTCAACTGAAAAGACAAAATGACAAATTATTTCTTTTAAAATCGGACTGTAGTTCTTCGGAATTTATCAAAGTTCAAATTAACAAAAAAAAAAAAATTGTAAATCGGTTAAAATTACTACTTATCAAACTCTTTCAACATTTCTTTTACCCTTTCCTTCACTGTGTGAGTCCTTACATTGTAAAAAAAATTTTGTCAGTGAATTTTAAAAATTAATGACAATTGAAATATAGAATTATACATCTAGATGTTAGTTACTTATCTCATTGGAATTGTATATAAATGAGGATTTTATCGTCTTTTAATTAACGAAGTTTATGGTAGAGAAAAAGTTTAACGAATCAAGTAAAGGTTATTTACCTCGAGTAAATTCTAGTACTAAATGTATAAAAGTAATATTAAAACAATTTCTTAAGAACCGTGAAAACTTCTTTTCAAAGAATTATAAAAATTTCCGTAAAATAATCATCTGATTGGAATTTAAATTATTTGCAAACTTTATAAAGTACATTACAAGTTGGTTTAAACTTTATTATAATTCCACAATTTACGATCTAGGTGAATTTTGTTTCTTCAAAAAATAAGATTCAAAAAATTAAGTAAAAATATCAACATAAAAATTTCAGATGCGACTGCACGGAGCGTCCATGTCGTCATATGTCATCAAGCACAAGACGTCGTCCTCAGGGACTTTCGTCTATGCTACCATTGAATCCAGTAGTGAGAATTATAAATCCATTGAATTCTTGTGAATGTCCTGATAAAACAAATTGCCCTCATATTGATGAAGATTGTGAGTGCGAGGCAAGACCATGTTGTCATACAATAAAAACACGTCGTCCTCGTCGATCTTGCGATTGTCCCTCACAACCATGTCCTCATAAGCCAGTTGAGGGTAGAATAAAACGTGTGAAATGTCGTGTGAGACGTGCTGGTTGTGCAATGGCCAGATGCACCGCCGAACTTGCAATGTTGCATTTACATTGGGAACTGGCGTCAGAATGTGCACCGTGCAAGCCTCGAGCTTTAACAAGAAGATTGTGTCGAAGGCAGCAAAGTGACAACGAACTTTATCGCAGCAATAGTTTTAAATTCGAGCGCTTCGAAAGGAATAAAGATGAATGTCCCACTCCAATTCGAAAACAGGTCAGTGGTTTTTTTAACTGAATAAATTTTATATCCATACCTATAGGTGGAAAAGTTAACATTAGTTAACGTTGGCTAATGATACTGATGTTAACTAACGTTAGGGTAACTTTAGACTAATGTTTGGTTAACGTTAATCTAACGTTAGTGACCAAAAAATATTGTTAGATTAACGTTAGCCTAACAATCCTAACATTAGTCTAACATTAATATCATTAGCTAACGTTAACTTTTCCATCTGGATATTTTTTGGTAATCGACGAATAGGGTTAGTTATAGACATAACAGTAATTATCTAATTTTGCAACAAACTGTTTCCATGCAGATTAGATAAGAAATATTCCGTCATATCAATTTAACTTTCAGATAAGATAGTTTTCCACGAGATAATGCAACTTATTTGAGATACACTTCTATTTTTCATTTTAAGTTGAATAGAACCACTAATCATTTCCTTTCAAAATCCACTGACGGAGTTTTCAATAATACTGCGATTCTATTTTAGATGTTCTGTAGAAAAGTGATTTAGAACTTTCATATATATATATATAAATGGTACAAATAGAGGTAGAATAGTTCGAGAGCATAGTGGTTATTGACCGTTTGATGCGAAGTCTAGCGGATAATTCGCAAATAAGACCTAGAACTCTCTTGACTCTAATCGAGGCGCGCATGGAAACTAATGGTTCCTACGTAACGCACTCTTGTGATGTATTTTAATGGTTTTTTCTTAGCTATTCGGATTTATTTTATTCTACCAGAAAATGCTCTTGTTTTGCTTGATCTACTAAAAAACACACTCAGAGCAGTTTTTTAAAACTTCGGAACCTTTTTTTTGTTTTCAACTTCGAAAAAAGGTTTTCTGAAGTTTTTCTCTTCCAAATGACCATAGGCAAATGTGAGTACTCCTAATAGACGTCAACCTGCAAACGCAAAAGTTAGGGGCCATTCTAAGTGCTCTGAGAAAAGTTAAACTTAGATGTGAGCTAGAAAATTGTAAAAACCGAAAGATAATGAAATCTCCCTTTAACTTGTTAACTCTTTTAGCCTTAGGGTATTCCAGGGTATGAGCATAAAATTTGATCATCCAGTAGTGATATAGTAATTCAATGACTTTTCGAATTCGCGATGCAAAATTTCATCTATCGCGCTGAAATGCTAGGACATTAGTTTACTATCGCACTGATTGCAATTTGACACACTCTCTTCAATTGCTTTCAATAACAACAATTTGGTCGTCAGTATTTGCGGTATTTGCCATCAATAGCTTTCTATTGCAACAACTTGGTCATCAGTGATGTATATTTCGTGTCAACTGTTGGCAACTGTACAAACTGTTTGAACCCGATTTATTTGATTTATTTTAAAATTTATATCATCCAGAAGAGTATTCAAAGCCATCAATTAGCAAAATAGTTGAAAAAATGTAGGGATAAGAATTACGATCCCCAACTTGAGAGAGCAGACATCTACAAAAGATGACAGAGAATAAAAAAGGGTTCGCGACAAAAAGAAAACTAAGGACATTTATTATATTTTAGGAGATGAATAGTATGCTCTAGAAATAGCAGATTAATGAGTAGGTTTGAAAAAGTTTTCAATTATGACACCATTGAGTAATTTTTTCTTTCGCTTTTTTCTCGAAACGACCATTTTCCGAGCGACGAACATCATAACTCAAACAATTTTCAACCGATTTGTCCAAAAATTGAAATATAACTTCTTAAATAGATTGTCTATTGTCGGGTATTTTCGACGATGTCTAAAAATATCATTTAACTTTTCTGGGCAATGTTGACATTAAAAGATTCAACATTTATTATATTGCAATCAACTTTCGACACTTAACTCATCTGTAATATAAAAAACAATTTCGATTAGTTTGAAACATTCGTTGCTTATCGACGCTAATTTTATATCAGGCATAACGGAAATATCAAAAGATTAAACCCGGTTCAATTCCCACAGAATTATTTTTGAAGAAGAAGAAGCAGAAAAAAAGCGTTTCATTTTCAACCTGTCAGAGAGTACTTCACTAATTGTAAAATATCTCCCAAACTATTCACGGCATTTACTTAAAACTTTCAGAAAATATTTCTAAGACGTACTTACTACTTTCATAAAATCGAACAGAAAAATCAAAGTATTAAAAAACAGGACTGTCGTTAACTTTTTCATTTAGTTAACGATCAATTTGATACTTTCCCAAAGTCACGAAGTTAGAGTAAGGAATAGGTACATTAGTCTAGAGGAATTTTAAAGTGTTGGAAACAGCAAAGGATTAAATAGTAAAAATGCAGAGTCCTATAAAGCGGGTGGGCTGTAGGAGGGTGTGTCGTAAACTGTCACTGGGCCACCAACCTCTCTACATTGACGAGCGTTGGGATTATTGACCGCCCTTAACCTCTCTCGAGGGCGTCCACAGGGGTCGCTTTTGGCCAATATGATTCACTGTCTATTGTATTCTGCATTAGTAATCAAGTCTACAGTTAGAATCTTATGCTACACATTTCTAGCATGCAACGTATCCGAAAAACCCCAATGTCGTAAAAAAAGGTACTAAAGTAACTTTATCAGCTGGTAACAACCTAACATGTAGCTAGGATGTTGCTAAACAATATCTTAAACGATACAATATTTTATTGTAACTTTAAGTAGTAGCAGATCGACCCGTATGTTATCAGACAATCAAAATTTGGATAAAAACACATTAAAAATTTATTTCTTCTAATTATTTCAATTTCTGTCATTTGGAAATCACCTGAGTTTTAATAGGGATCGATCCTTACAGGATAATGAAAAAAAGAGAATTTTATTTCAACTTTTAAGTAGTAACAGGTCCACCCGAACGCAATCAGACAATCAAAATTTGGTAAAAACGAAAAGAGAAATTTATTTCTTCCAAATTTAATAATTATAATCGTCTGAAAATTACCAAAGTTTTAGTAGGGACCGAGCCCTACACAATCCTAAAGAATAGAGAATTTTATTTCAATTTTTAAATAGTAGCACCTTCACCCGAACGCCATAAGTCAATCAAAATTTGGTAAAAAAGAAAATAAAAATTTATTTCTTCCAAATTTAATAATTAAAATTGTCTAAAAATTACCAGAGTTTTAGTAGGGACCGAGACCTACACAATCCTGAAGAATAAAGAATTTTATTTCAATTTTTAAGTAGTAGCACCTTCACCCGAACGCCATCAGACAATCAAAATTTAGTAAAAACGAAAATAAAAATTTATTTATTCCAAATTTAATATTTTTAAACGTGTGAAGATTACTAGAGTTCTAGTAGGGACCGAGCCCTAAAGAATCCGAAAGAATAGAGAATTTTATTTCAATTTTTAAGTAGTATCAGGTCCACCCGTACGCCATCAGACAATCAAAATTTGGTAAAAAAGAAAATAAAAATTTATTTTTTCCAAATTTAATAATTAAAATTGTCTGTAAATTACCAGAGTTCTAGTAGGGACCGAGACCTACACAACCCTAAAGAATAAAGAATTTTATTTCAATTTTTAAGTAGTATCACCCTCACCCGAACGCCATCAGACAATCAAAATTTAGTAAAAACGAAAATAAAAATTTATTTTTTCCATATTTAATAATTAAAATTGTCTGAAAATTACCAGAGTTTTAGTAGGGACCGAGACCTACACAATCCTGAAGAATAAAGAATTTTATTTCAATTTTTAAGTAGTAGCACCTTCACCCGAACGCCATCAGACAATCAAAATTTAGTAAAAACGAAAATAAAAATTTATTTATTCCAAATTTAATATTTTTAAACGTGTGAAGATTACTAGAGTTCTAGTAGGGACCGAGCCCTAAAGAATCCGAAAGAATAGAGAATTTTATTTCAATTTTTAAGTAGTATCAGGTCCACCCGTACGCCATCAGACAATCAAAATTTGGTAAAAAAGAAAATAAAAATTTATTTTTTCCAAATTTAATAATTAAAATTGTCTAAAAATTACCAGAGTTTTAGAAGGACCGAGACCTACACAATCCTAAAGAATAAAGAATTTTATTTCAATTTTTAAGTAGTAGCACCCTCACCCGAACGCCATCAGACAATCAAAATTTGATAAAAACGAAAATAAAAATTTATTTTCTCCAAATTTAATAATTAAAATTGTCTGAAAATTATCAGAGTTCTAGTAGTGACCGAGACCTAAACAATCCTGAAAAATAGGGAATTTTATTTTAATTTTTAAGTAGTAGCACCCTCACCCGTACGCCATCAGACAATCAAAATTTGGTAAAAAGGAAAATAAAAATTTATTTTTTCTAAATTTAATAATTATAATCGTCTGAAAATTACCAATGTTTTAGTAGGGACCGAGCCCTACAGAATCCTGAAGAATAGAGAATTTTATTTCAATTTTTAAGTAGTAGCACCTTCACCTGAACGCCATCAGACAATCAAAATTTAGTAAAAACGAAAATAAAAATTTATTTATTCCAAATTTAATATTTTTAAACGTGTGAAAATTACTAGAGTTCTAGTAGGGACCGAGCCCTATAGAATCCTGAAGAATAGAGAATTTTATTTTATTTTTTAAGTAGTAGCAGGTCCACCCGTACGCCATCAGACAATCAAAATTTGGTAATTAAAAGAAAATAAAAATTTATTTTTTCTAAATTTAATAATTATAATCGTCTGAAAATTACCAATGTTTTAGTAGGGTTCGAGACCTAAGCAATCCTGAAAAATAGAGAATTTTATTTCAATTTTTAAGTAGTAGCACCCTCACCCGTACGCCATCAGACAATTAAAATTTGGTAAAAAAGAAAATAAAAATTTATTTTTTCCAAATTTAATAATTAAAATTGTCTGAAAATTACCAGAAATTTAGTAGGGACCGAGACCTAAACAATCCTGAAAAATAGAGAATTTTATTTCAATTTTTAAGTAGTAGCAGGTCCACCCGTACGTCATCAGACAATCAAAATTTGGTAAAAAAGAAAATAAAAATTTATTTTTTCCAAATTTAA